CAGCTACTCAGGAGGCTGAGGCAGGAGGATTGCCTGAACCCAGGAGGCGGAGGTTGCGGTGAGCCGAGATCGCGCCATTGCACTCCAGCCTGGGTAACATGAGTGAAACTCCGTCTCAAAAAAAAAAAAAAAAAAAAAAAAGATCTATGATTTATGTGTTTGACTCGACAAACCCTTTGAATGAAACAAGATTATGCACTGAAAAATTATTTTGCACTTCTTAATGCAAATATTCCTGTTTTATCAATCTAATTGCATAAATATACTTTGGACAGAATTTCATATTATAAAGGATTATATGATCAAAATAATCTGATAAAAGGGACAAACATGAATTGATTTGAAACTTTATTATATAAATTTTCATTTCTTTTAAAGATTACAAAACCTGTTCTATGACAGGAGTACAAGCAATATTGTTCCAGGATTATTCATGGATACATCTGAAGAGCTTAGATTACACATTAATAGTATGATTTGAAAACTTCCCAGATTAGACTCTTAAGTAAAACAATTTAAAGTATTTAGTGATATTTGATCCTTTACAAGCATTTCATAATTATGGCAGCAATGCCAAGCATCTGACGCGATTTAACCACCAACAAAAGGTACAATACGTAAGAATTCATGATATGGTATCTTGGGCTTCTGGCATGCCTTACTAGAGATAAACTAGTATAAAGGAAGATCATATATAATAGTAGAAAAATATTTGTGATTTTTTTCTTTTTTAAAAACGACTTAAGTAGGCACCCACCCTATTCCCACCCTTGGCCAAAAATGCAAAGTAAGTACATCCCTTAGGTGTATACCTTCCCTTTTGCTTAGGGTAACGGTTAAGATAAACTAATACATGTATATAATTTTAAGAGTTAAAAACTCATCATCCATAATGAATAAAGATGCTAAGGAATGGCAATACCTTGAAGCTTTTTTTAAAAATCAAAAAACAAAGCTTTAGATGGTAAACTACACTTATAGAAACACAAACCAAAATCTTTATCTTTATGCCCTTGCTTTGTACGTAAAAGTTCTATTTTAAATACTTGTTTGAAAAACTCAGTATACAGTTCATTCGGTACTATAGTGATAATAGGAGTAAAGATGTTCACTTCCATTAAACGATGAACTAATCTACTTAGGACTATTACAGCAACTCTCTTCCCATATACACTTACATATACTCTACTCACGGTATGTGCTTTAAAGAGGTTTTCTTGAGGTTTGTACCTCTGAACTTAAATCTCTAAATTTTCCTTTCCACTAATCTCTAATCAAAATTTAATATACTTTGCTAGTTGCTCTGAGAGAAGTCATGGACATTTAAACAGCTTATCATGTAGTTCAAGATTATATGGCAAAATAATGAGGAAAGTGCCTTAAGAGGTAGGAAGTAGGCTCTCATCCCAACCCTTGGTAAGCCCTGTTATGAACAGTTAAAAAACTAGAATCAAAGTGGTAAATGTGAGGCTGAGAGTAATACCAGGCTTAAGAAAATTGACTTAGTTACTAGAATTCTTTGAGAACACTGTCACATTGGAACCAGTTGCAAATCACTTGATCACACAGAATACAGTAGTGTCAAAAACACATAAAGCACACTGTAGATACAAATTCTTCTTGGCCATCCATATTTGGGCATTAGCATTCTGGAGATTCTTCATTGGAAAAAGTGGTTAAGTGTGGCTCTGTAGAATACCACAGTCCCAAGAAAGTGAATTTCATTCCTTCATTAATTGGTCTCCACCAATGGTCACTTGGGGAGACCAGCAAAATGTAAGCAACCTGGGGTTGAAAAGAGGACTATTTTCATTAATTGAAATAAAAATGCTGAGTTAAGTCAACTTATCTGTGAATTAAGTAAGGCTCAAAGTATTTATCCAGTTTAAAGTTAGTCACATGGCATTGGGCCTTTCAGAGGAACAGAACTCTAGAACTAGATTGAAACCTCCTGATTTAAGCACCAAGGTCAGCCATGGAATACATTGTATTTGTTAATCTGAGAAAACAGACCTTTTCTGAACCTTTACATTCCTGAGCTATCTACCCTAATACCTTCATAAGTCTCAATGCTCAATCAACCATAAGATAGAATTTTCTTTATATAGTGAAGCAAACTGAAAAATTATAGGTCATTTTTAAAGGCCAGGAAGTAGAGAATATCAAAGCCATGTTAAGATGTGTATTGCTGGCCTCCATGGTGATTAAGCACAACCGTAGCAAGGCCTGCAAATCTTGAATGCTTTTCTGCTCTCATCCCAGGCTGGGCTTACCCTAGTCCCTTTTCCGCCAATACATTCTGCTCTCTCTTTAAGCCTTTGCACCCACCTACCCTCTGTTCAAATCCTTCCTAGGCTGAAGGTGCAGGGCACAGCTAACTGGACAGCCCCACCTCCCATGATGTCCCCTGCCCCAAGAGCAGTCACGTCTTAAAAAGAGATGGGAAATGGTTGACCCAAACCCGCTTTTTGGAGTGCATTGCATGTGAAATGTGGAAACTCTACAGCATACACACCACACCTTCTCTCCAGATAATCATCAGTGACTTTTCATACACACAAGCTTCATAGCATTTCAACTTTGGGCCTTGTCAAAATTATTCCATTTTTGGACTTTTGGGGTTGCTTGTAATTAATGCATCCATATCAAATCTGTTAAAGTCGGGGGTGTGTTGCATTAGAAAGAAGACACCTCTATAAACCAGAAAAAGCTGAAATGATTTATAAAAAACAAAAATTAAAAAAGGATGAAAAACTTACCTTCATTAACATCACTTGAAAGGAAGATACGAACACATGGTAGTGTAATTCATACTTTCCAGTATGTGCTTGACAAGGTTAAATTCAATCTCTCGCTTTGGATATTATTTTGGATTAGAGACTAAGAGGAAGCTTGTGGACTGATACCTTCTGGGAGAAACCCCAGTAACTGGCAGCACTAACTGGTGAAAGGCAGAAGCCTTCAGGGGCCTCAATACCACAACTGTAGGGGCCTGAAGAATTGATGTTGAGAAATTAATGGAAAAATTAACCCACCACAGCACTATATTTAGAGCACATTGCTGGCCAAGTTTTTCGACTGTATGTCAAAAGCAATGCAAGGGAACACCAGAACCATAGATGAAATAAATGTAGGTAGAAAGTCTTCCATTTTGTGAACATATAAATTGCTTTTCTCCAATAAAACGGGCTGCTTGACTAGGCAAAGGCAGCAATTATCTTTGAAAGAAATAAAATTGGCATCATATACCAGTAGAGGACTGCCCAAGAAATATGTACTTTTTGAACTCAGCTACTGGTTGGTGATATGAAGGAAAGGCAGCATGGTGTTATGAGGAAAACAAAACCTAAATGGGGAGAAGTTAAGGATTCTAGACTGTGTCTCAAGTTCTTTACATGCAATATGAGAAAGTTGGACCGAGTAATTCATAAGGATTTATGTGTTTACTTCTAGTTCTAAAAGACTATGATGACAATACACTTAAGCAATTATGGAGTAGCATCAGTGTAAAAAATCTGAAAACACATCTTTTCTTTCTGCTCAGAATGACATTAACATTTTAAAAGTGACAATAATTTGAGATGACCATAATTTGAAACACTGAATAGAGGAGGGAGAAAAGCTCTCTTTCCAAGCAATGGAAAGCAGCTTTAAATAGTTAGCATCCATATATTCAAGAACATTAAAATACTTTCTCTATCTAGATATTCTGATATCCCTCTTATACGTTTTTCATTTAGAAACTAAACTTACATTTGATTTCTATGCAATAATCATTTTTGTGTCACTTGGGTAAAAGAAACGTTATAGATTTTCCCTTTCTCTTTAATTGCATAGCGGAGAAATTAAGGAATGACAAGTGGATTTCAGGACATTTAGATAAACCACAATCTCTTGGCTTTGTACTCTTAGGGGAAAATTTAAAGCTTCTGGCAGGAAAAAAGGTTTCTGATATACATGGCTTAGTACATGACTAAGAAAAATCCAAATGGGTACATTCTTGTTTTTCCTTGATACAGTTTCACTCTGTCTCCCAGGCTGGAGTGTAATGGTGTGATCTTGGCTCACTGCAACTGCCACCTCCCAGGTTCAAGCGATTCTCCTGCCTCAGCCTCCTGAGTAGCTGGGATTATAGGCGTGTGCCACAATGCCCGGCTAATTTTTGTATTTTTTAGTAGAGATGGGGCTTTGCCATGTTGGCCAGGTTGGTCTCAAACTCCTGACCCCAGGTGATCCACCTGCCTCGGCCTCCCAAAGTGCTGGGATTACAGATGTGAGCCACCACGCCGGCCCATTTGGGTACTTTCTTAATAAGGTAAGTTAAACCACTTTTTCCTTGCTTATATGTCTTTTATATTAAATGCTGATGTATGCTAGGTAGCTTGGCAAAGACCCAGGTAACAATGGCTACTGAAGTTTCTTTCATCAGATAAAAATGTAGAAACTACCAAATTAGATGCAGATAATGAATACTGTGATCTAAGCAGACCCAGTGGCCATTATGAAACCTGATCATTCCTGAAGTCAAAGGAAGCAGTATATGGCTATAAATTATCATGAGGAATTCAGAAAACACTCAATGCCGAATGTTCATTTAGCCTGCCCTACCTATAATTTTAGGTTAGTATAGATACTGTTTGATCAATGTTTTTTTTTTTTTTTTTTTTTTTTGATGGAGTTTCGCTCTTGTTACCCAGGCTGGAGTGCAATGGCGCGATCTCGGCTCACCGCAACCTCCGCCTCCTGGGTTCAGGCAATTCTCCTGCCTCAGCCTCCTGAGTAGCTGGGATTACAGGCACGCACCACCATGCCCAGCTAATTTTTTGTAGTTTTAGTAGAGACGGGGTTTCACCATGTTGACCAGGATGGTCTCGATCTCTTGACCTCGTGATCCACCCGCCTCGGCCTCCCAAAGTGCTGGGATTACAGGCATGAGCCACCGCGCCCGGCCGATCAATAATGTTTTAATCCCTAAAATAAGAAAGTTTAAATCCAATTTCATATAGAGGCCTTTGGCCTTTATTACATTCAAATTAGTGTTTAATATAGAATATCTATTTAAACATGAAATATCCAATAGGACTTCAATTACCTGTTGCTAAATTTTCCTTCACCAATCTCTTTACCAGGACTCTTAAAGGGCTTTGATGTATATTGGCAAAATCCCAAATGATATGCCAAATTCTAAGTATGGATGCTATGTAAGATTAAAAGTGCAAGGACTACTTCCTTAATTAAGGGAAAAGGAACTCCAAGGAGTTGCGAAGTATACGGACTAACTTCATAGGTGTATTCTTGAGTTCATGCCACACACGTATGATAACTTTCTCTACCATAACAGCTCTCTAGGTTAGTCTGACAGAGCACCTGACTTTAAGAAACAAACAAATGAATGAACCAGTGAAACAGACATGGGGAAAGATATGTACATTTTGGAAGTATTACATTCAACAGCTGTTCCACAATCTGGCCATTTTTAGGGCTGTCCAACAATACTGTTAATCCAGGTGAACTATTTAACCAGATTTAATAGTCAATTGATTAATAATAATAGATTCCAAGTTAAACAAGGCATGTATACATTAAAGAAAGCAGTACAGAAATGTACTGTATATGAACTGTTTACAAAAACATACAAAATGTTGGATGGCACAAGGGATACAGTGCTAATATAAACGGATTGTTTAAGCTAAGTGCTTAACATAAACTGTCCATCCCTATAACTAACAAAGAATATTTAAGGGACATGAAATATTTCCTATAAAAATAATGCTATATGGTGTACTTTATTCAGTGTATTTTTAGGTGGTATTCATATGTTCATTATTTTTCTTGTTGATTCAGTGACTATATCTTCATCATGTTTCCATTTTCATTTCATCCGAAGCTCCAGGAAAATCTAACTTGCTAACAATCATTTAAAGCGAGAAGAGACGAAAGCAGGAGCAGCAGCAGGAGCAGCAGCATTATGGGTACCAGTTGGGACAGTGTGTGCTTGCAGGTGTCTCTCAGATATGTGCTACCTGTCGCCAGAACTTGTGCTATCAGCTTACACCATGGTACCAAACATCTCACTGAGGTCACTTCACAGGGCTGTTGAGGTGATTTTTTTAATACCTCTCCGCTGAGCAAGAGTAGAGCGGCCTACTGGTTCCAAAACTGGTGACTGATTACGGTTCAAAGCAGAATATGTAGCTGCCATGGCACCCTGAACAAAGGAAATAAAGGTAATAACAGAAATGACAACGGATAGTCACATGCACACAAATACAAAATGACGAGTTTTTTCCGATAATTTCTTCATACTCAATGTATACAGATTTTAATTTGTTCATAATGAAAATAACCACACTGCCCAAATCTACCGACTTAACCAAAACTGTAGAGGCCAACGTAGGAGGTTAGAATTAGGTATCAGAGAGAACAAAGATAGGCTCATAATAGGCAGTCCTCACTTTTCTTAGGACTATTCAACATTTTTTCTCTTTGCACTCCTTTAATGCATAAAGTAACTAAAGAGGCAGGAAGGCATTCTCTTTAAGTTGGGAAATCCATAAACTTAATCTGTCTTTATTGATAGTAAATACCTGCTTATGTAGACTAAGAGAAATCAGAAGTCACTGTTTTGTTTTTTTTTTTTTTTTTGAGACGGAGTTTCACTCTTGTTACCCAGGCTGGAGTGCAATGGCGCGATCTCGGCTCACCACAACCTCCGCCTCCTGGGTTCAGGCAATTCTCCTGCCTCAACCTCCTCAGTAGCTGGGATTACAGGCACGGGCCACCATGCCCAGCTAATGTTTTGTATTTTTAGTAGAGACGGGGTTTCACCATGTTGACCAGGATGGTCTCGATCTCTTGACCTCGTGATCCACCCGCCTTGGCCTCCCAAAGTGCTGGGATTACAGGCTTGAGCCACCGCGCCTGGCCAGAAGTCACTCTTAAACTAGTTTTATTACTAATATATTGACATGCCTTGAGCTTTTCTAAGTCACCCACTGTAAGAGAATCCCATAACAGAACTGGATGCAGGATGAAAGAGAAAGGTGCTGGGGGCACGGACAGGCTTCTTGAAGTCTCTCCCGGAGGACATGTGGAAAACAGTGACTGTATGGGGCCACTCACCTTTACTAGATGTGGTGCATCCTGTCTGTTTAGTTGGTATTGCGGCAGTTGGTCCCAGTGGACAATCCAAGGATGTCTGAGCACAAGAGCAGCAGTCAGTCTCTGATGAGGGTCTACATGAAGCATCTTTGACACCAGGTCCTGTAATGGGAATAATAATAAAACAAGCTTAAACCTTTTGTTTTGCTTCTTTTCCTTTTCCCTGTCTCAAAAAAGAAAAAAGGAGAAAAATGGATGGAACTGAGGTATTTAGGACAAAGAACTGACAGAATCTGGTAGTTGACCAGATCTTTGGAACTGGGGTGATGCTGTCCCAGGTACTCCTCTGCTATGAGACATTTATGGTTTCTTACTTTTAGTTATTAACAGCTAAGAACAGGGATAAGCAATTGAACATAGCTGGAAGTAAAAAGCAAAAAAAAAAGAAAAACAACAAAAAAAATAGGAACCTCCCTTTTGCAATTCTGAAAGTAGGCAAAAATGCTTAAAATTGCATTAAATGTTGCAAAATTGTCCAGGTACAACAAAACTCAATTATAATTTTAATCAAATCTGTACGCTAATGAACTTTTGGCAAACTCACCTCAAACTACTTCTCTTATTGCCACCCCTTTAATGGCTATTCCTCTTAAGCTTTCTCTTTAAGTAGTGCTCTCTGGAATTCCTTCCTTGGCTCTCTTACCACTCTGCTCAGATAATCTCATTCATATTCATGGCTTTAGCTACTATGAATGATGACAACTCTTAAGTGTCACCCCAGATTTCTCTTGTAAGACATGTAACTATATAGACAGTTGCCTGATGGACATACATCTCTCAATTTATAATGTCAAATCTGCAACCACCAGTCCTCTCAATACTACTTCTTTTGTATTCCACAAATCAGTGAAGGATACTATCCCTCATCCATCTGCCCAAGTTAGAAATGGGGACTACATACATTATACCTGCTTCTCTCTCATTTCTTATGTATAATAAACCATCAAGTCTATTTTGCCTCCTCAATTTCTCTTCCATTTGGCTCAACTTCCATCACAACTGCTCTAGTGCAGGTCCTCATCATTCATGACCTGAAATATTGCAAAACCTTACAAGTACTGTTCTTTTTTTTTTTTTTTTTTTTTGAGACGGAGTTTCACTCTTGTTACCCAGGCTGGAGTGCAATGGCGCGACCTCGGCTCACCGCAACCTCCGCCTCCCGGGTTCAGGCAATTCTCCTGCCTCAGCCTCCTGAGTAGCTGGGATTACAGGCACGCACCACCATGCCCAGCTAATTTTTTGTATTTTAGTAGAGACGGGGTTTCACCACGTTGACCAGGATGGTCTCGATCTCTTGACCTCGTGATCCGCCCGCCTCGGCCTCCCAAAGTGCTGGGATTACAGGCGTGAGCCACCGCGCCCGGTCCACAAGTACTGTTCTTAATATTAGGTCAGTGAGGCCTGAATGAAACAACATAGGTAAAGGTGTTAGCATAGTCCTTGGCACACTAATGCTCAGTAAATGCCAGCTGTGGTCTTCTTATTCTCAAAGCCACATGTGACCCACATGATTGACAACATTCACATGTGTAACTTGTTCTTGAGGGGATACACCCAGATTGATAGAGCCCTCCCTTCTATCTTGTGGCTAATCATGGAATTATATCATGCTTGTAATAATAAGTCTTAATGGTACATATTAATAACAGTTACTAGCAATAACATGGAGTAAATAAGATAGGCTGTGAGTTGGACGTAATTATTTGTGCTCCATGTCTCCATTCTCACCTGCCCTTTCTCTCACCAAAAAAGCATACCAGAAAGCAAGTGAATGAATAAGATCATAGTGATAACCTCAACTTGCTTTAACTTATTAAAAAATCAATTAATGTGTAAACTCTGATATTTAATTATTGGTAACATTACTTAATATATCTCCCAACCTATCATGACAAAGTTTGTGGTAGACTCCATAGCTAAGAATTACTTACTGCTCCACAGAATGCACTTTAAAAAGGAAAATCTGGGCTGGGCGCGGTGGCTTACGCCTGTAATCCCAGCACTTTGGGAGGCTGAGGTGGGCAGATCACAAGGTCAGGAATTCGAGAACAGCCTGACCAACATGGTGAAACCCTGTCTCTACTAAAAATATAAAAGTTAGCCAGGTGTGGTGGCGTGCATCTGTAATTCCAGCTACTCAGGAGGCAGAGGCAGGAAAATCACTTGAACCTGAGAGGTGGAGGTTGCAGTGAGCTAAGATCATGCTACTGCATTCTAGCCTGGGCAACAGAACAAGACTCAAAAAAAGGAAAATCTGCCAGGCGTGGTGGCTCATGCCTGTAATCTCAGCACTTTGGGAGGCTGAGGCGGGCGGATGACGAGGTCAAGAGATCCAGACCAACCTGGTCAACATGGTGAAACTCCGTCACTACTAAAAATACAAAAATTAGCCGGGCATGGTGGTGCGTGCCTGCAGTCCCAGCTACTTTGCTACTTTGGAGGCTGAGGCAGGAGAATCACTTGAACCCAGGAGGCAGAGGATGCAGTGAGCTGACACTGCGCCACTGCACTCCAGCCTGGTGACAGAGCGAGACTCCATCTCAAAAAAAAAAAAAAGGAAAATCTGATCATTGCACTGCTTAACATGTTTTAACAGCTCCACAATACCCAGAGTCAGGCCCACAATCCTGTGCACTAGGCACAAAGTGTTTCAAAATCTGGGTTCATCAGCTCCCCTCTCCCACGCACCCTGCACTAGTCACACGGAATGACCAGTCTGGAGGCATTCTGCTATTCTCAATGTTATCATCACCACCTATCTGCATGTGCTGATCCCTCATCTTGGGACTACATCTTTTTGGTCCCAAAATCTGCCTGGCAAACTCCTTCACTGCTTCTGGAAAGCTTTCCTTAAAATCCTTCTGACTAAGCATCATCTGTGAACTTTTTTAGCACCGAAATTGTACCACTGTTAACAGCACATGTGACACTGTACTGTATATTTCTGGCTGTCCCCCAACTAGACTGTGAGCAAATTGAGACAGGGAATTCTATCTTTGTCACATCTTTTATCTCTAAGGCCTTCATTTATTAAGCACATTAATAAATGAAGGGACTCAAAAAGGGAACTACAAAGGAAACAGGTACCCAGGGAAATAAATTATCTGGTTTAAGACATTTTATTGTTAGAAAAAGGTGAAGGCTAACATTTCTTTCTATCTATCTATCTATCTATCTGTCTGTCTGTCTGTCTGTCTGTCTGTCTGTCTGTTGTAGGGTGCCAGCTCCCACACACCGTCTGTCCGTCTGTCCATCCATCCAACCATCCATCCATCCATCCATCCATCCGAGACAGAGTCTTTCTCTGTTGCCCAGGCTGGAGTGCAGTGGCATGCTCTTGGCTCACTGCAACCTCCACCTCCCTGGTTCAAGCGATTTTCCTGCCTCAGCCTCCCGAGTAGCTAGGACTACAGGCACCTGCTACCATGCCCTGCTGATTTTTTGTATTTTCAGTAGAGACAGGGTTTCACCATGTTGGCCAGCTAGTTTTGAACTCCTGACCTCAAGTGATATGCCCGCCTCAGCCTCCCAAAGTGCTAGGATTATAGGTGTGAGCCACTGCACCTGGCCAACATTTCATTTTTTTTTTTTTTTAATTGAGGCGGAGTTTCACTCTTGTTACCCAGGCTGGAGTGCAATGGCGCGATCTCGGCTCACTGCAACCTCCGCCTCCTGGGTTCAGGCAATTCTCCTGCCCCAGCCTCCTGAGTCACTGGGATTACAGGCACGTGCCACCATGCCCAGCTGAATTTTTGTATTTTTAGTAGAGACGGGGTTTCACCATGTTGACCAGGATGGTCTCGATCTCTTGACCTCGTGATCCACCCGCCTCGGCCTCCCACAGTGCTGGGATTACAGGCTTGAGCCACCGCACCCGGCCATCATTTCATTTTAAATGCAGTTATAAAACCAAATATTATCTATACAGACATTAAACTAGTTAACTGAGGCTTCAGGCGCTATGCCAATAGAATCTATATACATTTTTGATGTGTTTTATTTACTTATACAATCACTTCAACTCAAGCTTTTACCCCTAAGAAAAATGAATATGCACTTTTACCAATATGTATCCTCTTTATCTACTCTGTTTTTCTTATTTTGAAGTAAAAAACTTAATTCTTTTTTCTTTTAAAGAATTCTCTATGAAAAAAGTAAAAATAGAGCAGAGTTTGAAAGCAAGTCAGTGCTATTTAGGGGATGGCAGATCTTCCAGTGAGAAAGCCTCTTCAAATGATTTCATGCAGATACTATAAAACTACACCTCTGTTTATTGTGAAAAAAACTGAAACCCCTTTCTTCATAATCTAAATTAAAAATAGAACATGGTGTAATTATTCTAGGGAATGAGGGCTGTGGAGTCATATTTCGTTTGAAGCACCCACATAGTTAACCTGGTATATAACATGGACAAGTTCAAACTAACATTCTGGGCTCTGATTTCTTTCTGTGAAATGGGGATACTACCACCTATTTCACAGGGTGTTATAAGGATTACATGACATAATTTTGGTAAAGTGGCATGTGAAGAGGCACACAACAGACAGACAAATCATGAAGACTATCACTGTTATAATTTATCATGTTCTTCAGTGAGAAACAATTTTTTTTTTTTTTGAGACGGAGTTTTGCTCTTGTTGCTCAGGCTGGAGTGCAATGGCCCGATGTCGGCTCACTGCAACTTCTGCCTCCTGGGTTCAGGCGATTCTCCTGCCTCAGCCTTCTAAGTAGCTGGGATTACAGGTGTGCGCCACCACGCCCAGCTAATTTTGTATTTTTATTAGAGACAGGGTTTCACCATGTTGGCCAGGATGGTCTCAATCTCTTGACCTTGTGATCCACCCGCCTTGGCCTCCCACCATGCTCAGCCTGAGAAACAGTTTTAGAAGTACAAATAATAAGGCCAAACCAAAGTCAGCTGGGAAAGAAACAAAATAATGGGTCAATTTTTGAGTTCAAATTATTTGGTAACATTACTTTAACATACTAACTTATAAACAAAAGTTTCTAACTGGTAGTATTTTTTCTCACTATGGATCATAAAAAATTATTTTCTCAAAAGCTTATAATAAGAAGCCATACTTACCTTTGCTGTGTCTGAAACAGAATTCCAGTAACCACCACTGAGTGAGAATTTCCCGCTACCTATTCGTGCCAATATTTCCTCTGGTGTATCATCAGGACCATTTGCAAATGGAGTGTAACTAATTTATAATAAAATTAAAATATAAATGAATACAATTTTTTATTTGGTTGGTAATCTCAAAAGTACTTTAATTCAGTTAATGTAATATTTTATTAAAATCTACCAAAGTGAAAAAAATCAATAAAATAAAGCTCCATAAAGTACCAGGTCAAGGTATAGGTTATAAAATACTAATCAGACTTAATATACAATAATATATTTTAAGACACGGCACATTATAGAATAAAATATTAAGAAATAGTGTATGTTTCTGACATGACAAGATTACAAAAATGTATGGAAAAAATCAATTTAGGACCTCAAGACATTAATAAATAGTACATTATAAAAATCAGTAATGATGTAGCCATAAATGTGGACTTGTTACAGAATTGTATATATTAGATAACATGAGAAAACATGGAAAGATATGACATCTGGATTAAAAAAAAAAAAACCTACATAGGCCAGGCACAGTGGCTCATGCCTATAATCCCAGCACTTTGGGAGGCCAAAGCTGGAGGATCGCTTGAGCCCAGGAGTTTTAAACCAGCCTAGGCAGCACAGCAGGACCCTGTTTCTACAAAAAAATAAATAAATCAGGCAGGTGTTATGGCACACCCCTGTAGTCCTAGGGCAACAGAGTGAGACCTTGTCTCTAAAGAAAAAAGCAAGCAAACAAAAAATGCTCCCAAACAAAACAAAAACCTAGATAACTTAAGCAAAATATTGATGAACAAATGCTTAGGTGCTTAGAACATATGGTATATATATATACTCACCCGGTAAGCATTGTATACAGTAGGACACCAAGACTCCATATATCACAAGCAGCATCATAGCCTTGTCGTTTTAAAACCTAGAAAAAGTAAAAACTCAGTATTACTATACCACCATTTTGTATAAATATTTGGACAGGCTATGAACTGAATTATATCTCCCAAATCAACACCTATAAGGAAAATTTCAACAGAACATGGTTACCAAATAAGGCAATACATTAATCCTATTCTAGAACATTCTATGACTAATAATTGATATATAAATTTAATTTTGGTATTCAAATTAATATTTATTGAGTGTTGTAGACACACAGGAATATAAAACAAACTGAAGACACCTTTCTTATTTTAATGAATTTATATTTTGTTTGGGGCTACAGAAATATTTACAAAAAAATGCTTTTAAGAGCACACACACACACACACACACACACACACACAAGAACACATAACCTAGTACAAAAATCACCAACTTTTATCAGGTAGGAACTATGACAAATACAAAAAACCCTGATTTCCTTAAAAAGAAAGAATTTGATGGGAAATAAACATAAAAATAGTTAACAACTCAATTTGGTAAATATTATAATAAAATCAAGTCTGGGTAGGGTATGGTGGCTCACACCTGGTATCCAGCACTTTGGGAGGCCAAGGTGGAAGGATCACTTGAAGCCAGGAGTTTGAGACCAACCTGGGCAACACGGTAAGAACTCTTTTTATTATTATTGTCTTGGCTCACTGCAGCCTCTGCCACCCAGATTCAAGTGATTCTCAAGCCTCAGCCTCCCAAGCAGCTGGGATTACAGGCATGTGCCACCATGCTTGGCTTATTTTTATATTTTTAGTAGAGACAGGGTTTCACCATGTTGCCCAGGTTGGTCTCAAACCCCTGAGTTCAAGAGATCCACCCACCTTGGCCTCCCAAAGTGCTGGGATTACAGGCATGAACCATGGCATCTGGCCAAGACCTCACCTTTAAAAATAAAAATAAAATGGTATTTCCTAGGTTTTATTCTAGAGTTTTTATGGTGTTAGGTCTTATGTTTAAATCTTTAATCCATCTAGAGTTAATTTTTGCATAAGGTGTAAGGAAGGGATCTAGTTTCAACTTTCTGCAAAGTGGGTGTTGAACAATGAAAACACATGGACACAAGGAGGGGAACATCACACACCGGGGCCTGGGGAATGGGGGCTAGGGGAGGAATAGTAGGGAATCGGGAGATTGGGGAGGAATAGCATTAGGAAAAATACCTACTGTAGATGATGGGGCGATGGATGCAGCAAACCACCACCATGGCAGGTGTATACCTATGCAAGAAACCTACATGATTTGCACATGTACCCCAGAACTTAAAGTATAATAAATAAATTAAAAAATAAAAATTAAAATTAAAAAGAAGCCAGGCACAGTGGTGTTCCCCTGACCCAGCTACCTGAGAGGCTGAGGCAGGAGGACTGCTTGAACTGAGGAGTTCAAGGCTGCAGTGAGCTATGATTGCACCACTGCCTTCTGGCCTAGGCAACAGAGAGAGAGACCTTGTCCCTAAACAAACAAACAAACAAAAACCCCAAATCATGTCTTAAATGTTATAGGTGTGAAAATAAGGAAGCAATTTATTCTTGACATGGGGAGAGAAAGAAGGCTAGAGGGCGCCTGCTTATATTGGACCTATATGGAAGAAACCAGAGCAGGCTCAGAGATAGGCCAGAAGTTCAGTGTGTCTAGAACTTCGGGTAGGGAATACCAGAGAGACTGAAGGGCTTTTTTGTTTTTTAAGAGAGGACTTCTTGCTTTGTCACCCAAGCTGGAGTTCAGTGGTGTGATCCTGGGTCACTGCAACCTCAAACTCCTGGGGTCAAGTGATCCTCCTACCTCAGCCTCCTGGGTAGTTGAGACTATAGGCATGCCACCATGTCCAGCTAATTTTTAAATTTTTTGTAGAGATGGGGTCTCACTATGTTGTCCAGGCTGATCTCAAACTCCTGGCCTCAAAGGGTCCTCCTGCCTCAGCCTCTCAAAGTGCTAGGATAACAGGCATGAGCCACTGTGCCCAGCCTTAATGGCTTTTATAATACCTTGTTAGGAAATTGAGATTCTTCTGTAGGCTGTTAGATGTCACTGAAACATTAAACAGGGAAATGAAAAGTTGGCATTTTATCCTAATTATTTGTTCAGCAAGTCTTCAGTTAAATGATTATTAATAATTCTGTATGAAACATAGGGAATGAGTTTCAAAACATACTAAAACACTGCAAGCAAACTCTCTCACAATTACCTCTGGTGCAACAAAATTTGCAGTATAACAAGGAGTCATGAGAAGACCATTTTCCGCTCTCAGCTGTTTTGCAAAGCCAAAATCACAAATTCGAATAGATTCCGGATTACCAGATTCATCCACATAAAGAATGTTGCTAGGTTTCAAGTCTCTATGAACCACCTAATTGAAATACAAATTAAAGAGTTATGTTAACAATATATTTCCATTACTGAAAGTTCTTTATTCACAAATTGTCAAGCAATGCACTTAACAAGATGATGAGCGCTGACCTTTACATTAGCCCAACATTATAAAATGCTGATAATATAAAGCATAACTCTCTAACATAGACCTGGGACAAGGAGGAGGACGAAGAAAGAATAGTATTTACCTCCTTCCTCTTTGTCCAACTGAGTAACTGGGTTAAGGAAAAATGCAAACAGCAATAATGTACCTCCAGATTGATCACTCATTTAATACTGAGTATCTATCATGTACCAGGGTAATATAAAGCTGCTGCAGCTACTGTGGTGAACAAGACCCAAAAGATCCTGGCCTTTCCGTGCTAGGAGCTTACACTGTTCTGGGGGAAGCAAAGAATAGACAGGTTGAGAGATGGGGCATAACTAGGGAGGTCACTTTAAATAGGGTATCAGGGAGGGTCTCTAGATGAGGTAACATCTAATCCAGTATCTGAAGAACAGAATGAATGAGCCCTAAGATCAGTGGGTGAGAATCATTCTAACTAGAAGGAATAGCAGGTACAAGGTACATACACAACAAATACATTCTGATAGACTAAATGGAACAGAGAGGGCATTGAGGAATAAAAAGGAAAAAACCAAAACAAATCTGGACTTTATTTTTGGTATTGGTTATTTGTTATATAAGATGTTAAATATGCAGAAAGTAACCTTTTCTTTAGAGTTCTGTATTATTTTCCTCCTTTAATGATCTGAGTACAGTAGCCCTCCCTTATCTGTGGGGTATATATTCCAAGACCCCAGTGGATTCCTAAAATTGAAGATAATACCAAACTATATATTTTTTCCTAGATATACATATCTATAATATAATTTAATATAATTTATAAATTAAATTATAATATAATTTAATTTATAAATTAGGCACAGTAAGAGACTAACAATGACTAATAAGGTAGTGCAATTGTAACAATATACCGTAATAAAAGTTATGTGAATGTGGTCTCTCAAAATACTGTAATATTTTTGGACCATGGTTGACTGTGGGTAACTGAAAACACAGAAAGCAAAATTGCAGATTAGCAGGGGACTACTCTACTTCTTTTATCATAAGCTTCTCTGACATTCCTTTTTAGACTTAAGTGTGCCTTCCATCATCAAATTCTGAGCCTATGTTCTAATCAATTATATTAGATTTAGTTCCTCACATCCAGGACATCACTTTCCCACACTACTTTAATAATGAATTACTGATGAGGCATTGGGAAAAGAACACAGAAGCCTTTGATGACTGCAAGGTCATAAGTTCCTCAGTGAATACTGAGTTCTACTAATTTGAAGGTATAATACTAGGCAAATCTTCGTAAGTTAGAAGTCAGGAAGCACTAGAATTAATACATTCTACTTGTTGGCTTTCGACGCAAAGACAAAACAAGAAGAATGTATTGAAACTGAACTCCTTATGAAGTAAACTTTTACATATGCATGTATCAAAACATCATGTTGTATACCATGAATATATATAATTTGTCAACTAAAAACTTTAAAAAAAAAAGTTTATTTTCCCCTTGGTTTCCATTCCTCTTCACTCCTCTGCTATTCTCCTTTCTTCTCTCCCTCCCCTCATTTTCTCCTTTCCTCCCAGATTTCTTTTTTTTTTTTTTTTTTTGAGACGGAGTCTCATTCTGTCGCTCAGGCTGGAGTGCAGTGGCGCAATCTCAGATTACTGCAATCTCTGCCTCCCTGGTTCACGCAATTCTCCTGCCTCAGCGTCCCGAGTAGCTGGGATTACAGGCGTGCACCATGGTGCCCAGCTAATTTTTGTATTTTTAGTAGAGACGGGGTTTTGCCATGTTGGCCAGGCTAGTCTCGAACTTCTGACCTCAGGTGATCTGCCGCCTCGGCCTCACAAAGTGCTGGATTACAGGCATGAGCCACTATGTTTGGCCACCTTCTTTTAAAAATATGATTTTCTTTTTTGTTTTTGAGACAGAGTCTCTCTGTTGTCCAGGCTGGAGTGTAGTGGCATAATGTCAGTTCACTGCAACCTCTGCCCCACCAGGTTCAAGCAATTCTCCTGCCTCAGCCTCCTGAGTAGCTGGGATTACAGGCACCTGCCACTGTACCTGGCTAATTTTTGTATTTTTAGTAGAGACGGGGTTTCACCATCTTGGCCAGGCTGGTCTTGAACTCTTGACCTTGTGATCCATCTGCCTTGGCCTCCCGAAGTACTGGGACTACAGTGAACCACTATGCCCGGCTGCCTTCTTTTAAAAATATGATTTTCTCAAACCCTTGATCTCAAGTGATCTGCCAGCCTCAGCCTCCCAAAGTGTTAGGATTACAGGAATAAGCCATTGTGCCAGCCTAGAAATATGATTTCTCTTTTTGCTGTTTACTAAAAATCTGTGTACAAGAAGAATGAAGAGCATATCCATCAGCCAGAAGCATGTGACTACTTGACTTCATTGTTTTAAGGATTTCCTTTTATACATGAATACAAACCAGGATTCCTTGTTTCTGCTTCTAACCTGAAGTGGGCCTGGTTTTCATGAGTACAGAGTGACCTGGCAGACAAAATGCTATGTTTTCCAGGTCGGAAGAGATCACTTACTTTTCCTTGGAAGCACAGGAGTTTAACATAAACAAGCTAGGCTATCAAAGGAATACTTCGATCTCAATGAGAAAAGTTTACATAGAGGAAGACCAGTAGGATAATTCAGCTAATAGCAGCTTTTTTCCATTACATGCATAAAGCAACTTCTATCTTCGTAATTTTAGCTCAAACATAAAGAAAAAAGTGTGTGTGTGCGCGCGTGTGTATGCGTGTGTATAGAGTGTTAAAACGACTTACCCCTTGTGCGTGAAGATATTCAACGGTTTTGGTTATAGTGAACAGGACAGCACTGGCCTCTCGTTCAGAGAAAAATTTTTGTCTGAGAATTTTATCCAGCAATTCACCTCCTTTCATAAGTTCTGTTACTACATACACATATTTTCCATCATCATATACCTATAAAATTTAACATCAAAACGTAAATATTACTTGAAGCTTTGTATGTGTCCAAAACAAAATTTAAAATATAAAAGAGAAACTCATTTTATATTCAAGAAAAATTTTATTTATTTATTTATTTAGAGACGGAGTCTTGCCCTGTCACCCGCGAGTGCACTGGCACAATCCTGGCTCACCGCAATATCTACTTCCTGGGTTCAGTGATCCTTCCACTTCAGCCTCCTAAGTAGCTGGGACTACAGGCACATGGCACCATAACTGGCTAATTTTTGCATTTTTTGTAGAGATGAGGTTTTGCCGTGTCTTCATGAGCAATGATAATCTGAGGAAATTTGAGTTTTGACAACAACCAGATAGGGTCTTTGGGCCTATTGTGAACATCATTAGCAAGAGAGGACTTAACACTACCTGGGGAGTTCACACTCTTTGCTGACATTTTGTTATAATAAAAGTCAAGAGAGACATAGGCAGCAGGGTATCATAACAGTCCAGGGAATGATACTTTACTTGTCCTTGGGGTGGCAATGGGTAGGGCAGGCTTCCTGGAAGAAGCAGTGCCTTAGCAAAATCTTTATGTGTGGTAGTTAGCCAGGCAAAGAAAGTAAGTGATGTTAGCAACTAAGGGAACTATAAATTTAGACAGAGCAGCATGGTAAAAACGAGGCATGTGCAAGAAATTTACATAATAGAACACAGAGCATAAGGTGGATGAAAAAGTGTGTGTGAGAAGTCTGAAAACTACAGAGGAAGGCAGGGTCTTAAGGGGCTGGAGATTATAGACTATAGGCAGGGACGTTAAATGGGTAGTTATGAGTGTTTATCTCTTTCTAGTAATGTGGAAGATACCTTAGGGGAAGCTGGAGAATGAGACTAGTCAATATTGAATATTAACTAACAGTAATATTAACACTGAACATTTAGGTAAATGTTCAAGTAAATGCAGATATTAAAAGCAATAATATCATAAGTACGGCCGGGCGCGGTGGCTCAAGCCTGTAATCCCAGCACTTTGGGAGGCCGAGGCGGGTGGATCACAAGGTCAAGAGATCAAGACCATCCTGGTCAACATGGTGAAACCCTGTCTCTACTAAAAAACTACAAAAAATTAGCTGGGCATGGTGGCGCGTGCCTGTAGTCCCAGCTACTCAGGAGGCTGAGGCAGGAGAATTGCCTGAACCCGGGAGGCGGAGGTTGCGGTGAGCCGAGATCGCGCCATTGCACTACAGCCTGGGTAACAAGAGCAAAACTCCGTCTCAAAAAAAAAAAAAAAAAATCATAAGTACTTTTCTTCTTAAAGCAAAAGTACAAAAAATAACTGTATAAACATATCTTTCTTGATAAATGAAATTATGCCATATACATGTATACATTGCTTTCAAATCTACTTTTTAAACTTACCATGCTGAGGTTTTCTTTTTTTTGAGACAGGATCTTGCTCTGCCACACAGGCTGGAGTGCAGTGGTACAATCACTGCTCACTGTGGTCTTGACCTGCCAGGTTGAAGCGATCCTCCCACCTCAGCCTCCAGAGTAGCTGTGACCATAGGTGTGAGCCACCATGCCTAGCTAATTTTTAAATATTCTGTAGAGACAGGGTCTCTCTATGTTGCCCAAGCTGATTTTGAACTCCTGGGCTCAGGCAATCCTCCTGCCTCAGCCTCCTAAGGTGCTGGGATTACAGGTGTGAGCCACTGTGCCCAGCCCAGCTAATTAAAAAAATTTTTTTTTTCATAGAGATGAGGTTCCTGCTGTGTTGACCTGGCTGGTCTTGAACTCCTAGCCTCAAGTAATCCTTCTGTCTTGGCCTCCCAAACTGCTGAGATTATAGACGTGAGCCACTGTGCTCAGCCTACGTTGAGTCCTTTGTCTACAATACGATTTTTGAAAATACACTATTTTCAATGTGAGTTAGACAACTGATTCAAATGATCCATGTTAAAGAGTCTACTTACATCCTTTAGAGTAATAATGTTTGGATGCTGTCCATAACGAAGAAGAATTTCAATTTCTTCTGTTGGGTCTCTCTTGCTTTTATCAATAATCTAAAAGGCAAATATTTTAGAACAGAAGCTCATGAACTATACAGTTATTAACTGTTTATAGCTGCAGATCTTGGGCATTACCTCATGTAAATAGTATATAAATAAGTCATTTATCAATCAGTTTTATTCAACTACCTGGCCAGTTTGTTTGATCAGAAAGCCAGTCTTAATATAAATGGCAAGGCTATAAATTACAACTCATGAGTCACATTCCCACCATGCCTCTCCAATGTAAGTTTGTAGTAAGTTTAGGACTTACCAAAAACTCAAAAAGTCTTGAGAAAAGGTACCAAGAACACAGTTAACGTATCTTTTCTTCTATCCTTGAAGGTCTTAAACATTTGGGAACTCTAATCAACTTCTAACCCCCCATCAATACAGATAATTAAGAGCTAGATATAATACCACCACTAACACCTGCTTATTGAATATTTCCTTTAATAAAATCCTTCAATTGAATATCCTGTTAGTTGTAAGCTACTTATAAAAGCTAATTACCAGTTAAGCAGAACAATCTTCTTTTTGAAGTTAGGCAGAAAGCTACACAGAAAATCACACCTAGAATTTTATTTGGTTAGAATTTAGTTCAATTATTTCAATAAAGCCCTTTAAAATAGTAATGTAGCTTTCTAACCCTTTTATTTTGGCTGCTCCTTAAAAATATTTCTCTTAATATTTTAATCTGCTAAACTAATATTATACAAAAAAGACAAATTTTGCTTTCAATTCATTTAAAGAGTGATCTGAAACAAATTAGGTGGCCTTTGTATGTTCAATTTTAAACAGCTTAGTAATTAATATATGTACTAAATATCCAGGCCCTCCAGCAACCTAGGAAAGAGGTTACAACTCTCAGTATGAGCCCAATCTTCTATCTGAAATAGATTTAGAGTTGACCCTTGAACAACCCGGTTTTGAACTATAAGGGACCAATCACACGTGGATTTTCTTCTGCTTCTGCCACCCCTGAGACACCAAGACCAACTCCTCCTCCTCTTCCCTCCTCAGCCTACTTACATTTTCACCTTATTCAAGGTGAAAATGATGAGGATAAAGACCTTTACTATGATCCACTTCCATTTAATTGAATAGTAAATATATTTTCTTTTCCTTATAATTTTTTTGAGACAGGGTCTTGCTCTGTTGCCCAGGCTGGAGTGTAGTGGCACGATCATGGCTTGCTGCAACCTTGAACTCCTGGGTCCAAGTGATCCTCCCATCTCAGCCTCCTGAGTAGCTGGGACCACAGCCACATGCCACCACACTCAGCTAATTTTAAAAATTATTTGTAGAGATGAGGTCTGGCTATGTTGCCAAGGCTGGAGTAGAGTAGCACCATCATAGCTCACTGCAGCCTGAATCTTCTGAGCTCAAGCAATCCTTCCATCTCAGCCTCCTGAGTAGCTGGGACTACGGGCACACGTAGCCATGCCTAGCTAATTTTTAAACAATTTTTCTGTAGAGACAGGGTCTTGTTATGTTGCCCAGGCTTGTCTCAAACTCCTGGCCTCAAGCAATCCTCCCACCAAGGCCTCCCAAAGTGCTAGGATTACAAACGTGAGACACTGTGCCTGGCATGATATTCTTAATAACACTTCCTTCTCTCTAGCTTACTTTATTGTAAGAATACAGTATCTAATAAATATAACATACAAAATGTGTGTTAATGTGTATATATGCTATCAGTAAGTCTTCTGGTAAACGGTAGGCTATGAGTAGTTAAGTTAGGGGAATCAGGCTATACACAGATTTTCAACTGCTTGGGGATCAGCACTCCTAAGTGCTGTGTTATTCAAGGATGAACTGTAGTCGTAAAACAGTTCTGTATTTGGAGAAGAGGGAAGATAAACACATAGGTGCCCACTGCAATCAAGTGCAAACTATAGTGTGGAATTAGGCAAATGGGTGATTAAGAGGACAGGTATATGGAACAGACATGTTAATTTAAGAGATGATCTGGGACTAGTCTTTTGAAAACCAGAAGACACTGAGAGGGGTTGTTTTTGGCATGGATCTGCTAATCTGAGCCCAGTTTACATTAGATCTATACTTGTGCTTGTGGATCTCAAATATGTAGTAATTTCAGTAGCATCCAGTTGTATTGGGATGGGTTTTATGAATCATTTAAGTCACAAATATCCACAAATAGCTTGGAGATATTTTTGAGGTTTTAGGCATAGTCCTCAAGGTTTCTGTAATGCAAAGGGGTCTCAGGACATTTCTGCTTGTTATCATGTATTTATGGAGGCAAGACACATCCTTAAATTGCCCACCAAATATGTTATTAGTCTTTTCTCCTTTCATGTAAGCAATTTGAAAATTTCTACGTATCTTAGATTTCAGTAAGAGCAAGGAATAAGAAAATAGAAAATTAAATGTATTTCTTTAAAAATTTATTTCCTTCTTTAACATTAGCTTTATTGTCCTTCCAATGAAGCAAATTAAATGTATTTCTATGGTTCATCCTATCCACACAAAAGTCCTATACACACTGATGACTTTGAAGCAGTTACATCTGAGTTTAGAACAGTAATAACAACTAATGTCACTATCTCTCTAAACAGGAGCTATGCATATTTATAAACCAGTCTTAAGGTTTAAATAAGTTGAAAGCTTTAGATGTTGTTTGAATTGCTTGAGATTGGAGAGCAGAGGCTACTATTCCAAGAAGTGAAAAGACAGATTTGAATATAGTGTTTGTTCACTTACTTAGTTGCAAGTGAACAAACAAAGGTTTGAAATTCAAACTTTATTGCAGAGCTAGGTTTCTTGGTTTTTGGCTTAGAAAATTCTGTCTTAGGATACTTGATGAAATTAAAACAGCCAATGATAGTGAATTTTATGATAGTGGTTTTTTATTCTTTTATTAGTTCCAAGATCCTTTTAGATGTAAAGAAAGGTATGAACATTTTTGCCAGAGAAGATACAAACATACAAAATTTTGCATACAATTTTGAGGAATTTGCTGACACCCTGAGCATAAAATGGGGACTTCTGAGAGCAAAAAAGATACTTAAAAAATCACTTGAGGTGTAAATTGGTACTGCTCTGGGCAAACTAGATGTATAACCACCTTACCTTTAGCTTATAGGGTTCTAGATAGATTAAGGTCTCTAAATATCACTAGCCAGATATTTAAATTTAATTTTTTTTTATAACAAAAGACATTTTTAACAATGAGAGGAGTGTAATTTTTAACTGGTACTGACATGCATTAACAATAACTGTACAAATTAGATTTTAAATAAAAAATATTTACCTTCACTGCAAACTCCATGTTTGTAGCTTTATGTATACATCTCTTGCAAACAGAGTAGGAGCCAACTCCAATATCTTCTTTTACTTCATATCCATCAGTAAACTGAATACTGTTCCTGTGTAACTGCTACAAAAAATTATAAATTGGTGAAGAGTCCCATAATGCCTTTAGTGCATTTTCTAATAGGGAAGTATGTTACTCAGCATGCATTGTTGATGCTCTACATATAAATGAGTAAGAATAAAAATACATCTTTATAGTACTTATTCTTCTATAAGTGATTTTGGAAGTGTTTACAATGAAATGTACAGCAAGAAATGTGCCTTAAAAAAGCTTGTGTTAAAAATAAAAATTGAATTTGCCCAATAGAAAAAACGGAGCTACTTGATGTGGGGCCCATATCCTTGTCGGTGATTCAGCCTCATTCCACTTCCGAATCAGCTATAGGTTTTCAAGCACATTTGCAAATGAGAAGTTTGAAATCTATGTATAGAAGAAAAGGATTTAGGAGGATTCAGAATTAGAACATCTGAATTCTTGTCTCAGATGCACCACTTACAGGCTGTGTAACTTTGAGCCTGTATTTTCTCAGAGAGTAATGCTGAAGATTAAATAAAAACAATGTATTTGCAAGCAATACCTATGAGCGCCATTTTGGGCTTTCAGTAGCCACGCCCTTCTTTCTTCACCCTGAAGTCATAGCTTTATACAACTTCTGCTAAAGAAGCTGGTCATGGGTTAGGGACTAATAACATATACAGCAGATAATGAACAGTAACTTATTGATTCCATAAACAGGCTGAGGAAAGTTGTGCTGCCCTTGGCAATACTGATATGAGACCTCCATGCCCATGAGCTTTGTATACTATACATTAAAACTTGAATTCTGTAGAATATACAAGTTTGTGGTTTCTATGTTAGGTACAGAATTTATAATTTAAAAAGTTGCCATACATTCCTATGCTTGCATAGTAAATGGCACAGGCTATTCCAACATGCGCTCTGCTTAAAAACCAGTGTTTTAATTGGTTTTCTACAAAGTGGAAAGCAGGATAACTGACTTATGAAAAAACTTTAGAGCAAAAGCAGCTTAATCATCAAGCAAATCCAAGTACAAATTATATACTAAAACAATCTACTGCTTCAAAAGATATATCTAGGTCCCTTTGATTAGAAAGATGACTTAAGATTTGAGTTCATTTTTATTTCTTGTATCTTTCTAAGGTCAACGTTGCCAAACTATGGTCAGTGAGCCAAATCTGATTTATTGCCTGTGTATGTAAATAAAGTTTTATTGGCACACAGCCATGTCCACTTACTTATGTATTGTCTGCGGCTGCTTTGTGCTACATAGCAGAGTTGAGTAGTTGTGACAGAGCCCATATAGCCTACAAAGTCTCAAATATTATCTGACCCTTCACAGAGAAAGTCTGCTGACCCCTGTTCTAAGGCATCAAAGAACCAGAAGACCTCAATTCATCATGGCTGACCTGATGGAGGCAAAGGGTGAAACAAACTCAGCATGAAAAACATTTTGAGGCACAGGAGAGGACATAATTAACACGGCTCAACTCTATTTTCAAGTCACATAGGTATCTAGGATTTTGGCTCTTGCAACCTTTTCGATGATAAATGAAAAAAATTTCAAAGAGTAAAGTTAATGATATAAAACGTATTCTATTTTATTTTATTTTTTGAGACAGAGTTTCAACTCTGTCACCCAGGCTGGAGTGCAGTGCTGCAATCTCTGCTCACTGCAACCTCCGCCTCCCAGGTTCAAGTGATTCTTGTGCCTCAGCCTCCTGAGTACCCAGAATTACAGGCATGCACCACCACACCCAATTCATTTTTGTATTTTCAGTAGAGATGAGTGTTTCACCATGTTGGCCAGGCTGGTCTCAAACTCCTGACCTCAAGTGATCCACCTACCTTGGCCTCCCAAAATGGTGGGATTACAGGTGTGAGCCATTGCGCCCAGTCTAAAATGTATTTTAAATTGCTCATTTAAAGTCAGCAGAAAAAAATCTAATTATTCACAGAATAAACTATATATTACAACATTCCAAATCTAAAATTATTTAGACATCCACTCACCTGAACAATTGAATGTACACCAACTGTCTGCATAGCTTGGCTTTCATCGTCTGAGGTAATAGCAACAAAACTAAACCCCCGAAAAAGCTGATGTGCATTAGCACTAGGTGGAATGCCAGGTGAATCTGAAAAGAGTAAGAAGTGACAAGATTCATTTGCAAGGTAACTAAGGGAAAAACTGTTGAGACTATGACCTTTTTCACTTATTCTGGAATTCTATTTCTCAGGTACACAGTATATATCTCTTGCCTTCCAGGATACCTGTGAGGCACTGTATCAGATCTTTTCTGATTGTGTATTGCCATTACAACACCAACATCCTAGTCCCTCGGAGCCTAGAAAATAGCTAATTCATTTGAAGAATAAATTGATGAATTATAGGGTTAATGATATTCAAAATTAATGCTGTCCCATGGAATTTCCTGAAATGATGGAAATTTTATCTTTACAGTCTAATATGATAGCTACTAGCTTCATGCAGCTTTTCAACATTTGAAATGTGCCTAGTGTGACTGAGAAACTACATTTTAAATTTTAATTAATTTAAATTTAATTAGCTACATGTGGCTACTGGCTACCATATTAGACACTGCGGCCCTCTATAATAACCCAGCTGGGGTGGAACGGGGGAGATACAAGGTGGATCTACAGCAAATTTAGGAGATTTGAAAATAGCATAAAGGGTTATCCTGGAAAAGGTTTTCATTTTTTCTTTTTGAGACGGAGTCTTACTCTGTCACCCAGGCTGGAGTGCAGTGGTGTGATTTTGATGTACTGCAACCTCCACCTCCCGGGTTGAAGGGATTCTCACGCTTCAGCCACCCAAGTAGCCAGGATAGCAGGCGCATGCCAGCAAACCCGGCTAATTTTTGTATTTTAGTAGAGACAGAGTTTCACTATGTTGGCCAGGCTCATCTCGAACTCCTGGCCTCAAGCGATCCGCCTGCCTTGGCCTTCTTCCCAAAGTTCTGGGGTTACAGACGGGAGCCACTGTGCCCAGAGTCTGGAAAAGATTTTCTGGTTGAACAAGAAAAAATATATAATTGTTATCTTGTATCTGTATTTTCACATTTTCTCCTTACCTTTCGGAGTTTTTGCAGTAAACTCAGGATCAAAATAGAATGTATCTTCAGGCCTACCCGTTGCAGGTTTAAATGGTGGATGAATTTCTCTTCTATACAGTTTCTGGAGGAAAAAAAAGAGACTTAGACATATTTTAATTCTAATGAAATATTTCAAGCAAGTTTTCATTTTATACTTACATTCCAGTCTATTGTTGAGAAAAACGAATGTCTTTTAATTTCTTCAACTCCATCTGGTCCTGCACCTATCAAAAATGGATTCATTGGTAATTTTATCTCTAGGAGAAATATACATATTGTTCAGCCTTTGCTTTCAATACTTGCCTAATTAATTAGTTACTTTTGAGACAAGGGCTTGCTCTATTATCCAAGCTGGAGTGCAGTGGTGTAATCTCAGCTTACTGCAGCCTTAACCTCTCAGGCTCAAGCGATCCTCCTATCTCAACCTCCTGAGTAGCTGGGACTACAGGTGTGCACCACCAGGCCTGGCTAATTTTTGTACTTTTTGTAAAGACGGGGTTTCGCCATGTTGCCCAGACTTGTCTTGAACTCCTGGACTCAAGTAATTCTCCCGCCTTGGTCTCTCAAAGTGCTAAGATTACAGGCATGAGTCAGCATGCCTAGCCTTGTCTAAATAGTTAATAATTCCACCATAAAACAAATATCCACTCCCCTCTAAAAACAAACACCAACAAATACACAACATAAACAAATTAATTAAAATTTTTACCTAATCTGTTTGCAGGATTTCGTTTGAAAAGCATTCGTAAAAGACTCTGGGCTTCAGGACTCAAAAACTGTGGCATTCCAAGTTTGGCTCTAAATAATAAATCCACATAATTATTTTATTTCTTGGAGGCATCTGTACTTTTATTTTTAAAAAATTTTAAATTAAGCTTTTTGAGATACTTGTAGGTTCACACTCAGTTGTAAGAAATAAAACAGAGAGATTCCCTGTGCCCTTTACCCGGTTTCTCCCAATGGTAACATCGTACAAAACTACAATACAATTATCATAATCAGGATATTGACAAGGAAACAATCCAATGATCTCATTCACATGGCACTGGTTTTACTTGCACTTATTTGTGTGTTTAGTTCTATGCCATTTTATTACATATATGGCTTCTGTATGAATACGTTAGTTTGTTTATCCATTATCTGTTGAAAGACATCTGTGCTGTGTCCGGTTTTGGGCTAATATGAATAAAGCCATGGTGAACATTTATGTACAAGTTTTCATGTGAACACATAACTGAATTTCAGTTCATAATCTAATGAGCTTTTTAATTTTTCAAAATATTGCAAAGAGAACTGTGAAAGTAAGATCATTTGAATCCTAGTTCTGGCTCTGTTACTAAGAACTTTGTGACAGTGGGAAAGTCAATTATTCTGGGCCTGTTATCACTTCTTCATAAGCAAGGGGATTGGACACTAGACCAACGGTTCCCAAAGTGTAGCCTCGGAACTCCTCCTCAAAGGGAATTTATGAAACCTAACATTTAAAACTGCTAAGAGAACATGTGTTTCATATGCCACTTTTTCCTTTCCACTCCCTTTAACAGCCCCTGCAGGGAAGGGGAACTGGTGGGAAAGAGGATTATGGAATACTGAAGATATGTAGTCTAAAAACTGCTGGCCTGGATGAACTTGAAGGTCTCTTTCAGCTCTAATATATAATTTTAATTCTTTTTCCAGACCTACAAATTAAAGAAACCAATGATCCTGTAAGTATGACAATAATAACACAGCTGGGGAAAATTCCTACTTCAGAAACAGATTCATTTATTATTCAGTGAGTTGTTAGTGAGCTATTACATGCCAGACACTGTTTAGTGCTGAGGATACAGAGATAAAGAGAGCCCATGGACCCCACAGTCCATGGTGAAGATGGATACAGATAATATATTAAGAGACAAACGCAGAAGAGCATACACAAAGAGTGACAAGGGACCAGTAGGGGATATTTAATTTAACATGGGAGATTATGAAAGTTCTTGAATACAATCTAAAGGCTGATAATTTATTCATTTGGCTAGTGTTTCCCCATATTTTACTGAATAATATTAATCCCTCTAGATATGTAGCAACAATAAAAAAATTCATGACCCAATGAGCTTGTAGAATGGTATCTATTATATCCCCTTATTAGAGACACAGAATTAAAATACACCACATATAAAAAGCCTGAGAAATCTAGAGCAAAAAAATCAGCCGGGCATGGTGGCTTACACCTGCAATCCCAGCACTTTGGGAGGCTGAGGCAGGTGGATCACAAGGTCAGGAGTTCAAGACCAGCCTGACCAGTATGGTGAAACACCGTCTCTACTAAAAATACAAAAATTAGCCAGGTGTGGTGGCACGTGTCTGTAATCCCATCTACTCAGGAGGCTGAGGCAGAAGAATCGCTTGAACCCGGGAGGCGGAGGTTGCAGTGAGCTGAGATTGCATCACTGCATTCCAGCCTGGGTGAGAGTGAGACTCCATCTCAAAAAAAAAAAAAAAAAAAAGAAATCAGTGTTTCTTTTTTTTTTTGTTTTTTAAAGACAGAATATCACTCTGTCATCCAGGCTGGAGTGCAGTGGCACAATCTCGGCTCACTACAACCTCTGCTTTATGGGTTCAAGGGATTCTCATGACTCAGACTCCCAAGTAGCTGGAATTTCAGAGGTGTGCCACCACATCTGGCTAATTTTTATTTTTTATTTTTTTGTAGTGATGGAGTTCTGCCATGTTGGCTAGGCTGGCCTTGAACTCCTAGCCTCAAGTGATCCTGCCACTTCAGCCTCCCAAAGTGCTGGGATCATGGGTGAAATCAGTATTTTCTAAGTATTTATTTCCAGCACCTCTTTTTCAAATAATATCTATTAAAATCTTGTAGAATTAATACTCCCTTGAACAAATCTGAGGAAACAATGCTGTATTAGGTAATAGGGATGCAGCAGAGGTCTTGAAACAGTCAACTAACATGACCAGACTTATTTTTAAGAGGGTAACTCCAAGGGTAGTAGAGAACAGTTTGGAGTGGGAAGATGTCCTAAGTGGAGAGCAGTCAACTTAGGAATGTGGTCAGATAGTGTGGTTAAGAGGTTACTGTGGCCTAAATACTGTAAGCACTGCAATTCAGAGGAAAGGCTGGAACAGTGAAATAATTCTGAGATTGAATTTGGAGAATACCTAGTTATGTGTAAGAAATAAAAAATGATTTCCAGGTTTCTGGCTTAGGAAAGAGGTTGCATGAAAATGCTGATAACTGGGAGTATAAGAAGAAAAGAACAGCAAATAAAGATACATTTAGTTCAAAGATGTGAAATCATGCATGTAATATGTTTTGGGAAGGCCAGGCAGGTGAGTAAATGGAAACACAGGTCTAATGCCCAGTAAATTCATGTAAGAAAGAGTGATTTGAGAGTAATTAAAATGTTGAGGGTAGTTATAGGAAAGACAGAAGTCAGTCAGGAAAGTAAGTAGAGAGGGGGAAGAAAAGCATATCATAGATGGATCTTGGGGGAGAAGAGCATTTAAAAGGTAGTCAGAAAAAGAACAATTTGGGCATTAAAAATAATCAACGCGATTGCCTGAATCACACTGATTATTAAATCCCATGAGTTTATTATAGTAAAATAAGAAAAAGCAAAGCCAAAACACAAACACTCAACTCATTGGATACTACTCCTACTGGAAGTAACTAGGGCTCTGACATTAGAAACAATTAAGAAAAGAATTAAGTATTTATTCTCTTTCTTGAATGAGCCTTATTTCAAGTAATTGAATCATCATAGTTGATGAGGGAAAGTTTGTTTGAGAAAATAACAGATAATAAATGAGGAAGGAATAATAATAAAATTATGGTTGGGCATAGTGGCTCATGCCTGTAATCCCAACATTTTGGGAGGCAGAGGTGGGAGGATAGCTTGGGCCCAGGAGTTTGAGACCAGCCTGGCAACATAGTGAGATACCATCTGTACAAAAGATTAAAGAACTTGGGTGCACCTGTAGTCCTAGCTACTCGAGATGCTGAGGCAGGAGGATCGCTTTAGCCCAGGTGTTTGACGTTGCAGTGAGCTGTGATCATGCCACTGCACTCAGTATGGGAAACAGAGCAAGACCTCATCTCTAAAAAACACTTTTAAAAAAAGCAATTCATCACTTTTGAATTCCTTATGAAATAATCATTTCAAGTAATGATTATTAATGGATAGAACCATTAGTTAAAAGCCTGACAGGGAACTGTACAATGGAGGAGTCAGCTGCAACCACTGGAGCCCATCACTTAAAGTGGGGGCAACCAGGTATTGTAAGCATCCTGATGTAATAGGGACCACACAGTATTAGCTGCGAAATAATCTTGCTAAAAAGTTTAACCAGCTAATGTCAACCCACTTATAGACCTGAAAATCTGCCAGTTATTGAGCTCCATCTTTCCCCTAAACCCTATATAAGATTAGTGGTCTACTAGGTTTGGGGAGACTCTACACTTACTATAGCAAGGAATAAAATAAGCTTTATGCTTTTTGTTTCAGATATTGAGAGGGGGTCTCATTCTTTGACAAGATAAATCCAGAAAGCAGAGTTCTATAAAACAACTGTCTTGGTTTCTATGAATAAACAGAGGGTAGAAACAGGAATGGATTGTTCTATAGTAATAGACGTTTAAGAAGTACAACCAAATGGAATGTACAGACTTGATTTGGATGCAACTGTAAAGACACAATTTTGAAGAAAATCTGAAAAACTTGTTAAGGATTGATGATACCTGGGCAATATTACTAGCTTTATGTGGATGTGTAAGAAAACATCCATATTTTTAGCAAGGCAAACTGAATTAAGTAGATAAGAAATGATACATCTGGAATGCTTATAATACTTTAGTAAAGAAAAAAAGAATAAAGCAAATGACCAAATCTTGATAAATGTTGAATCTGGGATGACAGGTATATGTGTTTACTGAATTATTCTATTTTTGAGAATTCATATTTGAAAATTTTGTGTAACTAAAAAAAGAAAAACAGGAAGAGAAGAAATGGTCATGTAAAAGAGACCAAAAGGGGAATGGTTAGAGAGGTGGGAGAAGCAGATGAAAGTAGGAAAAACTAAGGAGGGAGTAGCCAACAGTGTCAAATACTCAGAGATACCTTTCTTTTTGTTTTTGATATGGAGTCTCGCTGTTGCCCAGGCTGGAGTGCAGTGGCAAGATCCTGGTTCACTGCAACCTCTGCCTCCTGGGTTCAAGCGATTCTCCTGCCTCAGCCTCCTGAGTAGCTGGTACTACAGGCACGTGCCACCGCGCCCAGCTAATTTTTTCTATTTTTTTTTAAGTAGAGATGGGTTTCACCAAATTGGTCAGGCTGATCTTGAACCCCTGACCTCGTGATCCACCTGCCTCAGCCTCCCAAAGGGCTGGGATTACAGGCATGAGCCACCGCACCCAGCCAGAGATACCTTTCTTAAGTGTCCCATCTAACATGGCTCCTGCTTTCTGCTCCTTCCCTCATACTATAGAGTATTCTGATTTATTATCCTTATATCTCCTATTACTATTTGAAACTATTTGTTTAGATATTAATTCCTTGTCTCCCTCACTAAAATATAAACTCTGAAGACCACCAAACACCTTTTCAGCCCTGTTCATACTACATCTCAAGTATGATTAGCAAGAACTCAAACATCTGTTAAATGAATTGTGTGAATGAATGGTACAGTCAGCCTTTTGACAACCTGCCACTGGTTTTAGCAACCAGAAGACCACTTATAGCCATAGTGAGAGCAGTTTCAGTAGAGTGATGGGGATGAATGACAAATAGGCAGTGGAATAAAAGAAGCCAAAAAAGTATTAACAGAAAGTATAGACTACTTTTTAAAGAGGCTTTGTGTTGAAAGGATGCAGGAAGATGGTACAGTAACTTGAAAGGAAGGCCAAGTCAAAGAAAGATTTAGTTTCTTCAACACAAGAGAGTGTTTGTTTGCTGAAAGGGAGGGATCAAAGTAGATGAAGTGATAAAGGTTCAGTGATGAAAGTTCAGTGAACATTCATTTACGTAGCACATCTTTTTAGACCTTTTTTATTGTGTAGAAGAATATAAAATGCCCCCCAAAACCCCAAACAGAAACACCCAAAGTACACAGCTCAGTGATTTACCACAAATTGAATAGTCATCTGGCCAAGAAACATAACATTGTCAGAACCCCTTATTCAGTGCAACCACTTTCCTTATTTTGCCTCAGGCTTTTAACCATCTAAATATGAACCCTAAAAACTATGCCTTAGTTTTGCCTGCTTTGTAAACTTTACAAATAGAATCACACAGCACTTATTCTTTTGTGTTTGAACTTCCTTAGCTCCAAATTCTTGTGAGATTTATCTAAGTTGGTGCATGTAACTGTGGTTTGTTCATTTTCTTTGTTGTATGGCATACTACACCCATGGCCCAAGTCTTCAGCCTGTTTTTGTATGGCTCTCACATTAAGAATTGTTTCAAGTTTTTACAGGGTTTGAAAAAAATACAAAGAATATGTGACAGAGACTGTGTGTGGTCCACAGAACCTAAAACACATAAATAAAAATTCTACTGTATTCAACTGTACAAATATAACATCATTTATTAATTCATTCTTCTGTTCATAATCAGGTTTCCACTTTTTGGCTATTACAAATAATGTTGCTATGAACAGCTTTGCACTTGTTTTTTGATGTGTGAGTAATCAGATTCTTTTAACATGGGTGCATGTCTAGGTGTGCAGATTAGTGGATGAGGGTATACATATATTTGTCTTTAGCAGGACAGAAATTGCTTTCTAAAATGGTTATATGAGTATTTATATTCCTTCTAGCTACGTATAAAAGTCGCCATTGCTTCACATCCCACCATTTTGTACTGTCAGTCTTTAAATTTTTAAAAATTCTGTTATAGGGCAGCAGTCTGGGCCAAAAATGATTCAGAATGCTCTTGTCAATCTTTTTAATTTTAGCCATTCTGGTGAGTATGCAGTGATAGTTCCTTGTGATTTTAATTTGCATTTTCTGATTAACAAGATTGAGTATTTTTTCATAAGTTTTTTGGCCATTGCATATCCTCTTCTGTCAGATCCCTTAGTCTCTTGCCCATGTTTTTATTGAGTTGGTTTTTTCTTACTCATTGGAGTTCTTGATAGATTGACAATGATTTTTTTTTCCCTCTTTTAGACAATGATTTTTATATATGGTGGAAGGTAGGATTTCTTTACCATTTTTTTTAAATTCTTTTTTTTTTTTTTTGAGACAGTCTTGCTCTGTCACTTAGGCTAGAATGCAGTGGCACGAACTCGGCTCACTGCAACCTGTACCTCCCAGGTTCAAGTGATTCTCCTGACTCAGCCTCCCGAGTAGCTTGGATTACAGGCACCCACCACCCCACCTGGTTAATTTTTTTGTATTTTTATAGAGACGGGGTTTCACCATCTTAGCCAGGTTGCTCTTGAACTCCTGACCTCATGATCCACCTGCCTCGGCCTCCCAAAGTTCTAGGATTACAGGTGTAACCCACCGCACCAGGCCAATTTTTAATTCTTTTAAAGTAAATTCTTTTGAGAGACAGGGTCTTGCTCTATTACCCAGGCTGGACTGCAGTGGCATGATCATGCCTCACTGCAGCTTTGACCTCCTGGGCTCAAGTGAGTCTCCCATCTCAGCCTCCCAAGTAGCTAAGACTACAGGTGTGCACTACCCCACCCAGGTAATTTTTATATTCTTGAACTCATGGCCTCAAGTGATATTCCCGCCTCAGCCTCCCAAAGTGCTGGTATTACAGGTGAGCCACCAATTCCTGCCTATTTTTTATATGAATATTAACTTTTCCAGAATGATTTATTAAGAAAAGGCTGTTCTTTCCCTACTGCTCTGAAATTCTCAATGGTCGAAAATTAAGTATCCATATATATAGATCTATTTCTGGGCTCTTTATTCTATTGTACAGATCTACTTTCTACACTTGTTTCAATGTCATATAATCTTAATTACTGTTATAATAAGACTTGATACCTGGTAAAGCAAGTCTTCCTATCTTGGTCTTCAAGAGTGTTTCAGCTATTTTTGGTCCTTTGTATTATCATATGAGAATCAGTTTATCAAGATCCACATTAAAAAGTTGTTTAGGATTTTTATGTGATTTGCATTGAAACTACAGTTTGTCATCCAGTACAGTAGCCACTAGCCACATAGGGCTACCGAGCACCTGAAATGCGGCCAATCCACACTGTAAGTGTAAAAATACACACTGAATTTCAAATGAGTATGAAAAAAATTATTTTACAATACCTCAATTATTTTTTAACATTGGTTACATGCTGAAATAACATCTTGGGCACTCTGGGTTAAATAAAATACTACGATTAACTTTGTTTCTTTTTACTTTTTTATTTTTTGAGGCGGAGTTTCTCTCGTCACCTAGGCTGGAGAGCAGTGGTGTGATCTCGGCTTACTGCAACCTCCGCCTCCCAGGTTCAAGTGATTCTCAAGTTCAACTGTAATCCCAAGTAGCTGGGATTACAGGTGTGTGCCATGACGCCTGGCTAATTTTTGTATTTTTAGTAGAGACAGGGTTTCACCATGTTGGCCAGGCTGGCCTCGAGCTCCTGACCTCAGGCGATCCACCCACTTTGGCCTCCCAAAGTGCTGGGATTACAGGCGTGAGTCACCACACCCAGCCTCTTTTTACTTTTTTAAATGTAGCTACCAGAAAACTTAAAATTCTGTATGTGGTTCGCATTATAATATATATATATTTTTTTGAAACAGGGTCTCGCTCTTCACTCTGTCGTTCAGGTTAGAGTGTAGTGGTGTGATCAGCGCTCACTGCAGCCTTGACCTCCCAGGCTCAAGTAATCCTCCCACCTCAGCCTCCAGAGTAGCTGGACCACTGGTATGTACCACCACATCTGGCTAATTTTTTAATTTTTGTAGAGATGGGTTTTTCCCATGTTGCCCAAGCTGGTCTCAAACTCCTAGGCTCAAGCAAACTGCCTACCTTGGCCTCCCAAAGTGCTGGGATTATAGGCATGAGCCACCATGCCTGGTTGGTTCACATTATATTTCAACTGATAACTTTACAACACTGGGCCTGTCATAACATGATCATGGTATATCCTTTCAAGTTATTTTGGTCTTTTAAAATGTCTTTAAATAATACTTTCTGGTTTTCTGTACAGAAGTCTTACACAACTTCTGCTAGATATATCATTAGGTATCTGATAATTTTTATATTGTTGTAAACAGTATCCTCTTTGAAAATTCTATTTAATTTTTATTTTTTTGAGATGGAATTTCACTCTTGTTGCCCAGGTTAGAGTACAATGATGCAATCTCAGATGACTGCAACCTCCGCCTCCCGGGTTCAAATGATTTTCCTGCCTCAGTCTCCCAAGTAGCTGGGATTACAGGCGTCTGCCACCACGCCTGGCTAATTTTTTTGTATTTTTAGTAGAGACAGGGTTTTGCTATGTTGGCCAGGCTGGTCTTGAACTCTGGACCTCAGGTGATCTGCCCACCTCGGCCTTCCAAAGCACTGGGCTTACAGGTGTGAGCCACTGTACCCGGATAAAAATTCTATTTTCTATTACTAGTATAGAGACAAGAAATACATTTTTGTTGTATCCAATAACTTTGCTAAATTCTTATTAATTCCAAGAATTTACGTCATCACTGGATTTTCTTTTCTTTTTTCTGAGACAGGATTTCGCTCTGTCATTCAGGTTGGGGTACAGGGACATCATCTCAGCTCACTGCAGCCTCAACATCCTGGGCTCAAATGATCTCCCAGTCTTAGCCCCCATCCCCCACCCCACAAAGTAGCTGGGACTATAGGTATTCACCACCATGCCTGGCTAATTTTTGCATTTTTTGTAGAGACAGGGTTTTGCTATGTGGTACAGGCTGATGAATGGATTTTCTATGGATAGGGTCATGTTTTCTGAATAATATTATAATTTTATTTCTTCTTTTTAAACTTTATGCTTTAATTTTTTGCTTGACTTATCATATTGGCTAGGACTTTCAGGAAAATGTAGACAGAAATGAAATAATGGGCATCCTGGTCATATTACAAATCTCAAAAGTAAAGTTTTCAGTATTTCACTATTAACATGCCAACACTCTAAAATCTCATTTTTTAGTATGAAGGATTTATTTTATTTTTTTGAGAGGGAGCCTCGCTCTATTGTCCAGGATGGAGTGCAGTGGTGTGATATTAGCTTACTCCAACCTCCACCTCCTGCGTTCAAGGGATTCTCCTGTCTCAGCCTCCCAAGTAGCTGAGACTACAGGTGTGCATCACCATGCCTGGCTAAGTTTTATATTTGTAGTAGAGATGGGGTTTCACCATGTTGGTCAGGCTGGTCTTGAACTCCTGATCGCAAGTGATCCACCTGCCTCGGCCTCCCAAAGTGCTGAAATTACAGGCATGAGCCACAGTGCCCGGCTTGAAGCTTTTATGTTAAAATCTCATCAAGACATCTACATTAAGGGAGTACTTACTTAAGAATCATAGTCATTGTTTCTTTTCGATCTTTTCCTTGGAAAGGTAGTGTACCAGTAAGCATTTCAAACTATAGAAAGGCAAAAAAATCAGAAGTATTAGTCAATAAATATAAAATTTCAAGGTCAGAAGGTTAAAAAAAGCATCATCTTAATTATAACCAAATCTTCTAAAATTGCTACCTAATAAAACAAGTGCTTTCTATTTCTACCATATTTGTTACTGAACTTGATGATTCCTAAAACAACTGAGCTATACAGTTTAGTAAAAATTAATCACTTTTTTTTTTTTTTTTTTTGAGACGGAGTTTCACTCTTGTTACCCAGGCTGAAGTGCAATGGCACGATCTCGGCTCACCGCAACCTCCGCCTCCTGGGTTCTGGCAATTCTCCTGCCTCAGCCTCCTGAGTAGCTGGGATTACAGGTACACGCCACCATGCCCAGCTAATTTTTTGTATTTTTAGTAGAGATGGGGTTTCACCATGTTGACCAGGATGGTCTTGATCTCTTGACCTTGTGATCCACTCGCCTCGGCCTCCCAAAGTGCTGGGATTACAGGCATGAGCCACCGTGCCCGGCCCACATTTTTTTTTTTTTTTTTAAATGAGACAGGGCCTGGCTCTGTTGCCCAAGCTGGAGTGCAATGGCACCATTTCGGCTCACTGCAGCTTCCATCTCCTGGGCTCAAGCAATTCTCCCACCTCAGCTTCCCGAGTAGCTGGGACTACAGGCCCGTGCCACCATGAATGGGTAATTCTGTTTTTTTTTTTTTCTTTTTTTTTTTTTTGTAGAAACAAGGTCTCAGTATGTTGCCCAGGTTGGTCTTGAACTCCTGGACTCAAGGGATCCCCCGACCTCAGCCTCCCAAAGTGCTGGGATTACAGGCATGGGCCACCATGCTCAGCTTCATCAATCACATTTCAAATGGCAATTTTAAAGTGTAGATATTTGAACAATTTGATAGATATGCCAATTTCATATGAACTTATTTATTTTTTTTGAGATGGAGTCTCACTCTGTCACCCAGGCTGGAGTGCAGTGGCACGATCCTGGCTCACTGTAATCTCCATCTCCTGGGTTCAAGTGATTCTCCTGCCTTAGCCTCTTGGGGTATTTGTGCCACCATGCCCAGCTAATTTTTTGTAGTTTTAATAGAGATGGGGTTTCACCATGTTGTCCAGGCTGGTCTTACAGGCATTAGCCACTGTGCCCAGCCTAATGTTTGTATTTTTAGTAGAAACAGGGTTTCACCATGTTGGCCAGGACGGTCTTGAACTTCTGACTTTAAGTGATCTGCCTGCCTTGGCCTCCCAAAATACTGGGATTGCAGGTGTGAGCCATTGCGCCCAGTGAATTTATTTTATCTTTTTTGAGACAGAGTCTCACTCTGTTGCCCAGGCTCCAGCAGTGGTACAATCTTGGCTCACTGAAACCTCTGTCTCCAAAGTTCTAGCAATTCTTCTGCCTCAGCCTTCTGAGTAGCTGGGATTACAGGTATGTGCCATCCTGCTTGGCTAATTTTTGTATTTTTAGTGGAGATGGGGTTTCGCCATGTTGGCTAGGCTGGTCTTGAACTCCTGATGTCAGGTGATCCACCCGCCTTGGCCTCCCAAAGTGCTAGGATTACAGGTGTGAGCCACTGCACCTGGCCAAACAAACTTATTTTATTTTTAAGGGTCATTTACTAATAGATTTCTGGACCAGTTTCTCCAAAAGCCTAAACATATATCATTAGTAGTTTAGACTGTTACTATTAGCAGGAAATCTATGGTAATATCTTTTTTCCTTTTCAAATTAGGATGAGATAGAAGCAGCTAATAGATTTCAGTCCTTCTTTACTGCATGTAATAATTTTTCTTGGTTATTACATATGGTATAAAATACACAAAATAAAAATACCAGTTTCTCTCTTGTAACATTCACTGCTGATCCTCACTTAACAAACAAACCCCTTCCCCCCAAAAAACCCCAAATCCAAACCTTACCATTAACACACCAAAAGACCACCAGTCAGCACTCTGAGTATGACCTCGACGATTAACTACTTCTGGAGCCATATACTCCACAGTTCCACAGAAAGAATATGCCTTCTTTTCATGGTCAATAGACTCCTTACTTAGGCCGAAATCTGCCAAAACAAGTATCATAAATATCCTACATAAATTTGCATATGTAAATTTTAAACTTTGAGTTCTGACATTTATATTAATCATTTAAAATTTCTAATACAAGTTTTTTTTTTTGTTTGTTTTTTTGTTTTTTTTTTGTTTTTTTGAGACAGAGTCTCGCCCTGCCACCCAGGCTGGCGTACAGTGGGGCAAACTTGGCTCAATGCAACCTCTGCCTCCCGGGTTCAATTGATTCTCCTGTCTTAGCCTCCCAAGTAACTAGGATTGCAGGTGTGCACCATGCCCAGCTTATTTTTTTGTATTTTTAGTAGAGACAGGTTTCACCACGTTGGCCAGGCTAGTCTTGAATTCCTGACCTCAAGTGATCCACCTGTCTTGGTCTCCCAGAGCGCTGGGATTACAGGGGTGAGCCACACCTGGCCCTAATATAAGTTTTTAATTTTAATACAGTGTATTACTCAGTATTTGTACCACAATCAATCTTAAAGGAAAGTATATATTGTAGGAGAAAATATTTTAATAAAATGAGGATTGTTTTTACCTGTTAACTTGATGTGACCTTCTTCATCAAGAAGTATGCTGAAAAAAACAAAGAAAATCTTTAAAAAATACTAAAGATTTACAGAAGTTAAGACTGAAATTATGTCCTTCAGCATCAGATCACCACATTTATTCTAAAATATTGCTTTAGACTGTGAATAAGATGGCAAAGGTAAAGGAAAAACAAATTATTTTTTGGACACACATTTATAACAAATCCCAAAGGCAATGCCATAAACTTCTATTAATATGCCAGGGGCACCTGAAAATTATTAGGAAAAGAAATCATCTGTATTCTTCCTAGTTGCTCTTTCTAATGCCTTTCTGCGGACGTGGTCTGACTAAACCCCCTAGTGGCTGCATAATAGAAGGTCCACACATTTAATTCAAAAACATCAGACTTGTCATGCTGTTGGTTATTTCATTTTGCCTTTTTTTCCTTTTTGTGGAGAATAGGGTCTCACTATGTTGCCCAGGCAGGTCTTGAACTGCTGGACTCAAGCTAACCTCTTGCTTCTGCCTCCCTAAGTGCTTGGATTACTCCCTAAGGTGTGAGCCACTGCGTGGCCAGCTATCTTGGTCATTTTAAAGGTATCTGACTCAATCATTGCTTCTTTATTTTCCTGACATGACCTACACAATCCTCTTCTCCTTTCCCATACTCCTTGTTTTTCATTGACCCCTCCCTTCACTATACACATGCGCCACAGTTTTCTCTCTTCCCCAGTAAACTGTGAGTTCCCAGAAGGTTTGATCTTATTCATCTTTACAGCTCAGGGTCTGGCAGAGAACAGTACAAATAAGAAATGTTGAATGAGGAAGGCCCGTTTGTAAAGGGACTACCGGACATTCCAAATAGTTTGGGCTTCCTCTCAAGGACAAGGGAGACCATAAAAGGTATACTTTCATGGAGGATAGATAAATTTACAGAGAAAATAAAGGACATTTAGTTAGCTCATTGGGTCATGATAAAGAACAAATGGATAATGACATTCAGGTTTCTGGCTTGAGCAGATACTTGAGTGGAGAGTAATGCTATTAATCAAGGAGCTACAGAAAGGAGAGCGTACTAAGCTGTAAGTCAATAATTATGTTAAGTTGGTGCAAAATTAATTAAAAGTAATGGCAAAAGCCACAACTGCTTTTGCACCAACCTAATTATTTCTGGATAGGTATGGGGTCAAGTAATAAACTGTTTCACTTATATTTATTTATTTATTTATTTTATTATTTTTTTTTGGAGACGGAGTTTCGCTCTTGTTACCCAGGCTGGAGTGCAATGGCGCGATCTCGGCTCACCGCAACCTCCGCCTCCTGGGTTCAAGCAATTCTCCTGCCTCAGCCTCCTGAGTAGCTGGGACTACAGGCACGCGCCACCATGCCCAGCTAATTTTTTTGTAGTTTTAGTAGAGATGGGGTTTCACCATGTTGACCAGGATGGTCTCGATCTCTTGACCTCGTGATCCACCCGCCTCGGCCTCCCAAAGTGCTGGGATTACAGGCTTGAGCCACCGCGCCCGGCCTTTCACTTATATTTAAAGCTATCCCACAATATAGGCATTTCCTTACTTTTATTTTCACTAAAAAATTTGCAAGTCAAATTTTGTTATGATAGAATTTTACTATGACAAAAATATTACCAACCTTTCTATTTCATAAAAACTTAATTACAACAATGTTTACCACTGAAGGTAATTCAGTAGAGACATATTTTTCATGTTTCCTTTATCACAAGTAGTTGTTATGAAGAAGTATTAATATTGATTATGCTTGATTATGAATCGATCAACATTTAGAGAATATATATGGCATTATTAAGTATCGTAGAAATCATCCCCCTTTCTAATGAATACATGAAAAACAATTCTAAAAACAAAACAACCTTCAAGTCATTCTTGGTAATTCTGAAAGGAAAAAAAAAATATGGCTAAAAGGGCATTAGTTATGCCTTTTACTGTAGCAAATGCATTATTTTAAGAAAATGATGCCTATACGTTATCTTTGAAAAAAAAAGTCAACTGTATCACTCTCAATAAACATGCCCTTTCAATTGTTAATAATTATTTTTAGTCATATTTATTATAACAGAGTTCTAGTTTAAAAGAATCTTAAAAACACCTAACAGTTAATAAAACATTGGGCCCTAAAATTTAAATTTCTCCCAAGTTTTGTATGGTGGTATTTACTTGCATAATTTACCAAGTAAGTGTTATTTCAAGTTAATAGCATCATCTAGACATGTATGTTTAAGATCTTAATATAAGCAATCTTATCTACATCTGATCTTATTTAATTCTTGAGACAGGGCTCACACTTTAATATAACTTTATGAGCAATGTCAATACAATGGTCTATGGTAAATATATTCAATTAAATAGTATAAAACACATTTTTATGAATGTTTAATCTTATATTTATAGTAATTTTTCTAAGGACTATATGCTTGAATATTCATTCTCACCAATAATTATATTTTGTGTCATGATAGTCATAAGTTGGGAAAATAATCAGGAAAATTCAGCAATTATTTGGGAAATAAAAAACAAAACCATATGAAACTTATCCAAAAACAAAATGAAAAACAAAGTAAAATATAGAAGTATAACAATTTCTTTTTTTTTTTTTTTTTTTGAGACAGAGTTTCACTCATGTTACCCAGGCTGGAGTGCAATGGCGAGATCTCGGCTCACCGCAACCTCCGCCTCCTGGGTTCTGGCAATTCTCCTGCCTCAGCCTCCTGAGTAGCTGGGATTACCGGCACGCACCACCATGCCCAGCTAATTTTTTGTATTTTTAGTGGAGACGGGGTTTCACCATATTGACCAGGATGGTCTCGATCTCTTGACCTCGTGATCCACCCGCCTTGGCCTCCCAAAGTGCTGGGATTACAGGCTTGAGCCACCGTGCCCGGCATGAAAACAATATTTTTTGATTAACTGAGATTTTTAAAGTATGAAAATATAGTGTTAGCAGAGATGTGAAGCACAGGAATGCTAGTGCAATACTGTGGAGGCGTCATGAAATCACTTTATTTTTTATAACCTCCTAAACAATTATATTACATTGTATTCAACTTAGTAGCATGATTCCTTACTTTTCTGGTTTTAAGTCTCTATAGATTATTCCCAGGCTATGTAGATGGTCTAAAGCAAGTGCAAGTTCAGCCAAGTAGAATTTGACATCTTCTTCTGTGAACATCACCTAAAATAAAACAATAATTTTTCTAAATTTATTTTCTTTTTGTGTAATTTTTAAAGTTCCACGCTAGAGTTTAAATATTCTAAAAATTTTATAAATCTGATAATTATACATAGTTTTATCTACAATTTACTCATGAAAGGAATTTGCAAAGTTATCTAATCAGTCAACCAATCACTTAAATGTATGCTGAATTTCTAGTACTAATTGTTTAAGGATACCTTGTTGATATATTATTGCTTCTGGAAAAAACTATCAAAGAGGCAGGATTAAGACAAAGATTGCTTGTCAATTTAAAGTCCTGCTTTCAAAATAAATTCAAGAGGTAGGAAAAGAACTCTTTTTGGGTCTGATTCTTCAAGAATCTTGTGCCACTACAGAAAATGCGGTAAGCATAATACTGAAATATAACAAAGCTTTAGTTCAAACAGGATGTATATGAATAGATTGAAAACAGAGATTAATTACATACCTCTTTGGATAAGCGTGTAAACAAATCTCCTCCCCTGAGAAAATCCAAAATGAGATACAACTTCCCTTCAGTTTGAAAAGCTGAATGAAGAAATGAAAATTTTCATTTAGTCCACCATAATTCTTTTCGGCTTATATTAGGTCATTCATAAGTGAATATTTTAGCAAATTAATTATATCAAATGTCTAAACTTACTTTTACTTAGAAGAAAACCACTAATTTATCTTAGTTTCCATGTGGAAATGTTAAATGCAGTATTTCTTATTATGGAACCACTAGATTTTCTACAGGCAATTCACTCAGGAATACAACAGTTCTAAACCCATGATATGTAAGAAAAAATTCTAACAAAAAAGTACTTACTTAACCATGAAATAACATACAAAAACCATGCCACTAGCTACAGAAAAAAATGTGGGTTGGTTAGTTTTAATTACACATAGTAAGAATCACCATACCTTTACCCACTGAGAAAAAGCATATGGCTTTGGGGAAAAGAACAGCAGTGACAACGGTTTTAGGACCTTGACATTAGAGATATGTTTGGCTTTTAGGGTGGGCTAACACATACAGGCTATAAAAAGCTGGCATATTATTTTTCATTTTTGTTATAATAAAAAAGCAATGACTAGCATTACCTGTTCCTGCAGCTACCACTCAGAAACTAACTTTATAATATTTAAGAAAAACATAAGCTAAACACAATAAAGTTTGTTCTAAAGTTCTAAATAAAGTTTGTTCTAAAGTTTGTCTAAGAAATAATGGTTTAATTTTCATGATTTTTTACTACATAGATCTGCTAATCACATACAAATATATATTTATTTATATTAGTATATCTGAATGTCCTCAGGGATTTTGAGAAATGAGGTGAAGGGATGACGTGGGAGATGGTTCATACTTACCATAATGCAACTTGACAATAAAAGGATGATTAACTTCTACCAAGATATCGCGTTCCATTTTTGTCCGAACTCGGTCTCGAACTATAAAAGATTGTATGTATGCTACATTGTAATATCTTTCAAAGATAATCTTCAAAGCAAATTCTTTTTGGTGCCCATGTTAAATAAAATTTTGCTTATATGTACTAAAATGCGAATGTATTTATCATTTTTGAATTTACAAAATCAATAACCAAAGGAATTTGTACATATTTACAAAATCCATGCTTTTAAGTTGGAAAAAATACAGAGAAAACATTAGGTATTGGCTTTAACATCAAATGCACACATTTTAATCACAGCTGTGGAAAATGGCAAAAAAGCATGCAACTGTTAAAAACAAGGCATCCTGGCCGGGCGTGGTGGCTCATGCCTGTAATCCCAGCACTTTGGGAGGCTGAGGCAGGCAGATCACGAGGTCAAGAGATCCAGACCATCCTGGCCAACATGGTGAAACCCCATCTCTACTAAAATACGAAAATTAGCTGGGCGAGGTAGCACACGCCTGTAGTCCCAGCTACTTGTGAGGCTGAGGCAGGAGAATTGCTTGAACCCGGGAGGCGGAGGTTGCAGTGAACCGAGATTACGCCACTGCCCTCCAGCCTGGTGCCTGGCGACAGAGCAAGACTCTGTCTCAAAAAAACAAACAAATAAATAAATAAACCAAATACCAAATAGGTTTCAACATTCCACCAGTCCTATCAATGAAACTCAACATTCATTAAGCATACCTAAAATGGGGCAGACGTAGGGGAAAGAACAGTTATATCCAAAGAGGTCTATTTTGAGGGAAGGAGAGAAGGAAGCAAGAGGGAGAGAGAGGACATACTGTTGTATGGCTGAAAGAGCAAATGTTTTTTGGAGTTTAGACAGAAAGATATGAATTCAGATCTGTGTAATCATTTTTTTTTTTGACAAAAACTTAAGCATTACAGGATCTGTGCAATCACAAGCAAGATACCTATTTAAACTCTTTGAGCCTCAGTTACCTTTTGGCTACACAATGGGGATAACACTACTGTAGATTTGAGGAGCATGAGCCCATTTGAGATAAGGTATATACCTAGAGCCTCGTATGTATAAGATATTCAATTAAATGGTAGCTATTGCTATTATATCCAAGGTAGCACCATGACTATGATCAAGGGATAAAACAATTTACTACAGCAGCCCCTTCTGCACAGTCATGCTGAGCCAGTGCCTGGGCCTGGAAGTGGGCCACAGACCCTCAGTTTCGCCCATCACCTCCCGACCATGGACCCCCACAAAGTGAACGAGCTTTGGGCTTTTGTGGAGATGTGTAAGCAGGATCCAAGCATTTTGCACATCAAGGAAATGTGCTTCCTGAGGGAGTGGGTGGAGAGTATGGGGGGTAAAATACCACCTGCTACTCAGAAAGCTAAATCAGAAGAAAATACCAAAGAAGAAAAACCTGATAGTAAGAAGGTAGAGGAAGACTTAAAGGCAGATGAACCATCAAGTGAGGAAAGTGATCTAGAAATTGATAATGAAGGTGTGACTGAACCAGACACTGATGCCCCTCAAGAAATGGGAGATGAAAATGCAGAGATAACAGAGGAGATGATGGATCAGGCAAATGATAAGAAAGTGGCTGCCATTGAAGCCTTAAATGATGGTGAATTGCAGAAAGCCATTGACTTATTCACAGATGCCATCAAGCTGAATCCTTGCTTGGCCATTTTGTATGCCAAGAGGGCCAGTGTGTTCATCAAATTACAGAACACAAATGCTGCCATCTGAGACTGTGATAGAGCCATTGAAATAAATCCTGATTCAGCTCAGTCTTACAAGTGGCGAAGGAAAGCACACAGACATCTAGGCTACTGGGAAGAAATAGCCCATGATCTTGCCCTTGCCTGTAAATTGGATTACGATGAAGATGGGAGTGCAATGCTGAAAGAAGTTCTATCTAGGGCACAGAAAATTGCAGAACATCAGAGAAAGTGTGAGCAAAAATGTGAAGAGCGAGAGATCAAAGAAAGAATAGAAAAAGTTAAGAATGCTCGAGAAGAGCATGAGAGAGCCCAGAGGGAGGAAGAAGCCAGACGACAGTCAGGAGCTCAGTATGGCTCTTTTCCAGGTGGCTTTCCTGGGGGAATGTCTGGTGGTTTTCCCGGAGGAATGCCTGGAATGGGAGGGGGCATGCCTGGAATGGCCAGAATGCCTGCACTCAATGAAATTCTTAGTGATCCAGAGGTTCTTGCAGCCATGCAGGATCCAGAAGTTATGGTGGCCTTCCAGGATGTGGCTCAGAACCCAGCAAATATGTCAAAATACCAGAACAACCCAAAGGTTATGAATCTTATCAGCAAATTGTCAGCCAAATTTGGAGGTCAAGCGTAATGCCCTTCTGATAAATAAAGCCTCTGGTGAAGGAAAAGCAACCTAGGTCACCTTATGAATATTGCAGTAATATAAACCAGTGTACCTCCGACCTTTTCATCAAGAGCTGGGGTGCTCTGAAGATAATCCCTACTCCTCTCCCCCAAATGCAGCTGTAGCATTTTATAGTGGTTTGCCATTAGGGTATTCATTCAGATAATGTTTTCCTATTGCCAACATTAAACACTTTTTAACCTTAAAAATATTTAAAACACATTTAAAGGGTCTGTTAATTTTTATATTTTTCTTTACTAATCATTTTGGGTTTTTTTTCTTTGAACTATTAATGGGCAGGGAAGATACTTATGTATAGAAGATTTTTTTGCTCTAATTTGAGTGAAATAAAAATTTGTTAGTGCAAAAAAAGAAAAAACCAATTTACTACAGCAATGAATACCGTGGGATTCAGAGAAGGGCAAGGTCAGTCTTAACTTGCATAGGAAGGCTAGAAGATGTAGGATCAGGGCACAAGCTTTAAGACTTTTCGAGTGGAATTTAGATGGGTAGGAACAATAGGGCCTAGAAAACAAGAGTCCAAGCATGGAGTACCCAGTGCAAATAAAGACATAAAGGCCTGAATGATGAACAGGGGGGAACCAAATGAGATTTACTACTGCGCCAAGGTGAAATGGGGAGGATCCAGATTCTTGACAAGTTGGAATGCCAAGATGAATTTTTATTTGAGCAAAGCTCTTTTTCAGCAACAAAATATTTCCTCAGCAAAGTATATGTGCAATGTACTAGGGATATACCTACAAATAAGATAATCTTCAAGAAGCTCATGATCCAGTGGGAAGGATAGACAAGTAAATAAATGATTATAATACATTCTAAGTATTGTGAATGGTTATATCAAAGATTAAAACAGAAAGAATAGGAGAATCTTTGGAAGAGAAATAATGTAGAGTTGGTTTTATTTTCAGTTTGTGACTGCAGATATTTAAAATATAGAAATAAGACATCTGGGTAAAATAAAGGAGCTAAAAAATGCCCTATTTTTTCCATTCTATCAATTTTCTAATCCTAACTGGGAGATTTTCATGCCACTTACTGAAAATGGGCAAATCAGAAATAGGAATAAATTGCTCTTGATATCTAGGCAGCTCTTTTAACTGACTTGTCCAGTAAGTATACCAAATTCAATAGCAATCTCTGATTTCATTACCTTGCCCTATCACTACAACTCTGGTGTCTTCTTTGTTATATTTGATATGCCCCCTTTTTATTTTTGAGATAGGTTATCGCTGTCACCCAGGCTGGAGTGCAGTGGTGTGTGATCTTGGCTCACTGCAACCTCCACCTCCCAGGATCAAACAATTCTCCTGCCTCGGCTTCCCAAGTAGCTGGGATTACAGGCTCACACTACCATACCTGGTTAATTTTTGTATTTTTAGTAGAGACAGTGTTTCACCATGTTAGGCTGGTCTTGAACTCCTGACCTCAAGTGATCTGCCCGCCTCGGTCTCCCAAAGTGCTGGGATTACAGGTGTGGGCCACGCCCAGGCTGATATGCCTTTTCTACTTTTTATGTGAGCGAAGTTCATCTCCAAGGCCTGCTGATATTTTCTTTCTAGTCTAGCCTAAATCTGTCCTTTTCTCGTTAATACCACACAATTTTGGATTAGTTCCTATTACTTTAAAGGTGGATTCCAAAGTTCTACCTCTTTCAATCAGTATATAATGCTTGTCACTTATATAACTATAGATGCACTGCATCTCCCTCTTCTATTATTTTACCACAATGGAAAGAACAATTATTTGGGAGTCAAGAACTACAGCTTAGTGGCATACTAATAACTAGATGAGTTACCTTGGTCAAATCATTTCATTGCTCAGGGATTTCCTGCTTCCTCCTCTATAAAATGAAGGGTTAGAACCAAGATGATATTCTTTTGAGATAGTTTTCTTTTCATCATTTCCTTATATGTAACATTGATGAGACACTGTTTAGCTGAAAACGAGCAGTGAGATTCCTTCACTTAAGAATTCCTTCATTTTGTCTGAGGTAGGACTGTGTCATAATTCTAATTTTGTTTCTTTTGCTTATGTAAAGACCTAGTGACAATCCTAAATCATCCTATCATGAGGAATTTTGATTAGAATATACTAATTCATAAGAAGGCTTGTTTTATATGGGCCAACTTCTAATCCAAACATAGAATTGGTTAATACTGACTCATGCTGGCAAAGCAACTAGATTCCTCTGAAATATTTTTTCTTCTACAGCAGTTATTAGATTTAAGCCCTCCTTGACTCAATATGAGAATGAAGAAGAATAAATGTTGTTTATGTTTCTAGGACTATGTATTAAGAGACCTTTTAAAGAAGTTTACAAAACCTTTTAGACAAACAGACCACCTTAATAGGACAGAAGTCCCAATTAACTTTGTCTAATGTTATTAACTTCTATTTGACCTCATTTATGGTACTAATAGGAATCTTAAGATGGGAAGAGACTTCTGGTTAAACATGGATGTTTTACTCTCTATATTCTTCCAAAACCTCATGGAAATGACAATAATGGAAAAACTGCATAAACAAGGACAGGAAGCAATAGCAGAAGATGGGTAAGTGGTAACTACCAAGCAGACCAGAGAAAGCTGAAAATCTAAGCCTAAGGAAAGGAAGCCAATGAAAAATAGGCAAATTCTTGCCATTGAACTCTTTCTAATCAGCTTTCTAGCAACTGACTCTTATCGAAAGATAACAAAAGATCCCCAGGCATTTGGAGAAAGGCTCTAAACATGAAAAACATAAAAATAAACAATAATGGAATATAGGGAAACAGAGATGATGTGAGGAACAGAAGATAACTTAAACACAATACAACAAAACAAAACTCAATCTTGTAATTTATATCCAGTGTGGGAGCAAAGATGTTATGGCACCTCATCTTTTTAAAAGCTTCTTGTTTAAAAAGAGTTCTTGTTCAAAAAGGGTGTTAGGGTAGAGGAAGGAACAAGTATCCTCAACAAATGAACCACAAGGAAAAGATAAGAAATGCAGAAAGAGCTCATAGATGAAAAGACTTAAAAAGATATCAACCAATTGCAAAGTTGAGACCTTCTATGTATGAATCCTAATTTAAACAAATTGCATAAAGAAACATAAATTTTAATAGCAGGGACAATAGTAATTTGAACACAGACTAGATATCTTTATGCTCATTTTTAAGGTATGGTAACAGAGTTGTATTATTTCTTTTAGGAGCCTTTTTTTTTTTTTTTTTTGAGACAGAGTCTTGCTCTGTCACTAGGCTGGAGTACAGTGGTGCAATCTCGGCTCACTGCAATCTCTGTCTCCAGGGTTCAAGCGAGTCACCACCTCTCTTATGTCACTTTCTTAAATGTTTGAAATGTCACTTTCCATAATTAAAAAATTGTTTAGGAAATGAAAAGTGATAGCAGAAACAAAAAGGTCAATAGAAGGGCTGGAAGATGGCTGAAGAAATTTCACAGAAAATAGAAAAAATAGAAAATAGAAGGTGGAACAATAAAGAAAATTAAGGAACAATTCAGGAGGTTTAACCAACAAATCCAAAGAGCAGCACTTACAAAATGAAGAATAAATGACAAAAACTTTCCCAAGACTGAAGAAGTGAGTTTTTAGGTTGAAAGAGACCACCTCATGTATGATACCATAAAATTTTAGAAACCCACACTCAAGAATACCACTATAAGGCCAGGCATGGTGGCTCATGCCTGTAATCCCAGCACTTTGGGAGGCTGAGGTGAGTGGATCATGAGGTCAAGAGTTCAAGACCAGCCTGGCCAACATGGTGAAACCCCGTCTCTACCAGAAATGCAAAAATTAGCCAGGCATGGTGGTTGTACTTGCAGTCCTAGCTACTCAGGAGGCTGAGGCAGGAGGATCACTTGAACCTGGGAGTTGGAAGTTGCAGTGAGCTGAGATCATGCCACTGCAATCCAGCTTGGGCGACAGAGTGAGACTCTGTCTCACCAAAAAAAAAAAAAAAAAAAAAAAAAAAAGAATGCCATTATATAAATTTCAGAACACCAGGATAAAGAGTAGATTCTAAAGACTTCCAAAGAGGAAAAGCAGCTTACACACAAAGGATTGGGAGTGAGACCAGCAATTAACTTCATCACTGCCACACAGGAAACTAGAAGACAAAAGAAGCAATACCTTCAAATAGCTGGTGGAAAATTCTTTCTGACCTAGAATTTTACACTCAGCCAGATTAGAAACCAAGTGAGGGGATAGAATAAAGCCATTTCCAGACATGCAGGGTCACAAAAAATTTAGTATCCATTTATTCATTTTGAGGTAGCTATGAGAAGATGTGTTCCCTCAAAACTAGAAAGTAAACTGAGAAAAAGGTAGGTACAGAATTTAGGAAAAGAGATTGAATACAGAAAAGAAGTGAAGGAAATGTGACTCTAGTATACTATTTCGTTCAGACAGGAACAATTTTTATAAAGCTGGAACAATGAAAACAATATTGGGAAGATGTGAAAAGGAAAACTGTGAGTGGGTGGCAGCATGAGAGAACTGAATCTTAGTTGTCCATGTTAGAAAGGCAATAGATTATGTCTCCAAACAAAAACAAATGTAATATAAAAGTGTTGAATAAAAGAGATGAAAGTCATTGTCTCTGCCTATCCAAGAATTAGGATAGGCAGAAGGCTGGGCAAAGCATTGCTATGTTACATGATAAGACTCTACATTGATAAAAATAAAAACTAAATTTAAGAACACATTCAATATTAAGCAGTCTAAAATTCCAATAAGCCAAATATTTTCACTTTTCTATTATCTCTTTTATAGCTTATATCTACAAAGTTTTACATATTTGTAGTAGCTCAATTTGTTATAATTTTCACTACATCATTTTTTGTAATTACATTTAAGATACTTTTAGTAATATCCTATTAAGTGGTAAACCATAATTTTATAACATTCCTCTATTTTTTCTTATTAAAAAAATTTTTTTTAGGAAAAGGATCTCCCTCCACCCAGGGTAGAAGACCGTGGTACAATCAAAGCTCACTGTAACCTTGAACACCTGGGCTCAAGTGATCCTCCTGTGTGAGCCACTGCGCCCAGCAAACTTTATTATTTTAATATGGATCTTTGACCTTCACCAAAAATGAACATTGCCTCAAAGATTATTTATCTCCTTGTGTAAACTTTATTCAAAAATCCTCCAGATGGAGGATATAATGATATTTCTTATCAATTCCCAACTCCTTCATTCTTTTTATATTTATTAGTTGGAACTCTATTGCAAGAAAGAGTTTTCCCTTCTCCCCCATTAATTAATTTATGAATTAACCTATGGATTCTTATTTTATTCAACTGAGTTGTAATCTATCACTATCATTTATTATTGCAATGTTTAAGTTGTCCCAGATTTGGCCAGTAGAAGCCCCTTAGCCAACTCCTTATATTCATGTTTGAGGTAAACATTTCCCTGTTTTCCTATTTATACTATTTTTAATTGTATGAAATGTTAACAATTTTTGTATTACCCATTTTTTTGTAATTTGCTCAATATTTCCTTACAAGTTTCCTAGATATGTTAAGTTGTAAAATTCAGTTAGGGTGTGGTTTGTTATGATGCAGGGTTTAAGAGAAGACTAAATTGTTTTCCAGGTTGCTCAGGGGTATTTCTTTCTTTCTTTCTTTTTTTTTTTTTTTTTTTTGAGATGGAATTTCACTCTTGTCACCCAGGCTGGAGTGCAGTGGTTCCATCTTGGCTCACTGCAACCTCTGCCTCCTGGGTTCAAGCGCTTCTCCTGCCTCAGCCTCCTGAGTAGCTGGGATTACAGGCACCCACCATCACCATGCCAAGCTAATTTTTTTTGTATTTTTAGTAGAGACAGGGTTTCACCATGTTGGTCAGGCTAGTCTCAAACTCCTGATCTCAGGTGATCCGCCCTCCTCGGCTCCCCAAAGTACTGGTATTACAGGCGTGAGCCACCGTGCCCGGCCGAGCTCAGGGGTATTTCAAACAAAATTTATGAAATCATTACCTAATTTCCCATTGTTCTGTATGCCTGTTTTGTCATACAGCATGGCAGGTACTCAATATTTTTGTAACAAATATACTAAAATATGATATATATATTTTGTTCCACTGATTCTATGCCTGTATTACTCCCCCCAATAACACACTGTTACTGCTATTTTAAGCTTTAGCATCTGAGAGAGCCTGTTCCCTTATTATTATTCTTTTCCAAAATATTCTGGATTCAGAAATAAAATTCTGAATTATTTTGTTAAGTTTTAAGGAAAATGCAACTGGAATCTTAATGACATTAAGCTAACTGAATGGCTAGAGGAGTAGTGAGATTCTTAACAGTTAGCCTTCTCTAACAGGAATTGGGCATTTATTTCCTTTCCTAGTTTCTTTTAGGTTTCTCAGAGTTTTGTAGTTTTCTTTATGTACATTATACACAATACAAATCCTGTTAAATACATAAAATCAAACTACTTTTGTTGGTTTTGTGTATGAACTCTCTGAGTTTCATCTATGTAGCTTTGTAACATGGGATTCATTAGTATAAAGTCACAAACGCAGTGATGGAAAGGTAGGGCATTGAGGATGTAATTTAATTTCCTGGTCCTAGCAAGAATCAAGTAAGTGGTAATGCCATGGGGTAGGACTGAATAGGAAAGAAAATATGTTCAGGAAGGGAGCAACACAATGGAAGCAAAGGACAGTGTTTATAGAGAGCGGTGAAATTTCTTGGGATATCCATGGTGGGTGACTAACTGGGAAAAATAGAAGTAATAAATGATCATTGCAAATATTCCAGAATATTTTAAAAGCTTTATAAATCACATGTAAATTGAAGAGGAAAAAATAGACTTTTAGTAATCAATACATAAAACATCTAGAGGTTATGAGGTTAAAATAAGTGATACCACTAAATTAAAAGGAAGAGTTAAGTATTTTTAAATTTATATACAATTTCTTCTTAACTACTTTTTACCTATGAGAGCCAAATCTTGCATTAGGGTTTTCAAAATCACAGGCTCAGAATAAAAACTTATTTGGAGACCAGATGTCAAGATAATAAAGACCTTTAGAATAAAAGCTATTCTGCATCCAGTAAATCAGTAAGTTTTAAAAAACATTAAAATAATTATATAAATTTGAAGATGAATCAAACCCAGTTTTAATCTTTTAAATGTCTACTTGTATAAAATCCAGTATGAATTTATAACACTTCTTTTGTAACGTGGCAACTCTGATTCTCACTAGACATATGACTCCTAGCCCAGCAGGAAAAATTCACTAAAAGTCAGTCTAAATTTAAAGCTGGTAACAGGAACCTATTCAGAATGTAAATAACATGCCAAGGAGTCCCATGAGTTCTACTAAGACCTTTCAGTTTGTTTAGACTACATGAACATTACAAATAGCAGCAGCACTTACCTTTCAGTGTGGCCTTCTTCAATACCTTCATGGCATAAAGCTGCCTAGCATCAGAGCCTGAGATTTTTTTAACTAAGAAAACCTGCATAAATAAGAGAAAATAAATATTACAAAGTATTATAAACTATACTTTTGTTAAAATAAGACCCTGCTGTAATACAGTTTATTATTATAATATAGATCCTGATATACTATAGATTATTTCCCCTAAAGTGTACCAATTATAAATACTAGTTATAAACAGTGGTTATAACTTGAAGTGTCAATATAAGTGAATACATTTTTTTCATCCTGTTGTTTGCCAGTTCCCAAAGAGCATGTAACACTTTAAGACAGAAAAAAATCCTGAAACTACGTATGTATGAATTAGATGGAAAAAAGCCCAAAATGTTTAAAGTACAGCACAGGTGGTATGATGGCTCTGCTTTTAACAAAACAAAAATTCTACTGAGTCCATCAAAATTGTTAAACAGGGGTTCCTCTTGACCACAATTTCCTGTTGATACAAGTATTCACTGATGAAGGGTCTTTTCTGTATACAAAAGCTGCACATAAATCTCACTGCTCAGTAGAACAATTTAAAACACTTACACTGAAGAATCCTATGCACAAATTAGTTAATGTGACTTAAGTCGGAATCCATCTCCCCACCTTTTTATGGTCAAATTATCACATATACCTAAATATGAAGAACACAATTCTTAGGTATGTTACTGGGCATCCTGACTTCCCAAATATTTGTGCAAAATGAATAAAGCCTGTTCTAAATAATTCATGGTCATTCTACAACGTGGCTAATACAAGACTACCAGTATATCCCTTCTACTAATTTTAACCATTAGGTTCATAATCATTTCCATTGAACCTTTAAATAGATATGCCAAATAGACTTGAATTTCAACTCTTTTTCCCTATCCATTATTTTGCAGCAGTGTTCTTATGCTGCAACAGGTGGGAAGAAGAGAGGCAATCATAATCAAGAATTAAGTTTAGGATCAGCTTCCATTCATCTGAATTAGCACATCAGGCTATCAGCACAAAATTGAAAAATGATTCATTCAACTGATTCTAGGACAAGGCAGTTTTTCACTTTGAGAAACTGTGCCAAGTCAATGGGAAATGACCCAAAATCAAGTGAAGAGCACCAAAACTTGCACAGAAAGCCTGATGCAGGGTGTGTTGCTCTCCTATAATCACCACCCCCTTCACTATGCCCCACATTTTAGCTCCTTTCAGCCAGTTAGTGAGGAGCCAACATGGGGAGAGAAAAGCTTCCTTAATCAGGGTGGATCTAAGCTCTGGAATGATGTTTAAGTATTAAAGGTAATCAGAGATTATTAATATTTTTGATGGAAATAAAATTTAATTAGGTGGAGATAATTAGAATTTATTTGATATGTAATCATCCTTAAGATTCTCTAACCAAGTTTTTTGTTCCATTCTGTAAGAAAAATTCTCCTGGTGAATTCCAAACTTTCAAATGTTCTTTGAATGCATCTTCTTAATACTTCAGCAATTCTTAGTTTGCAAAGCACTTTCACAACCATTTGTAATAAATCATCATGTCAATTTCGGGAAGCAGACCTACTAAGCAATGCCTATTTTATAGCTGTCCAAACTAGGGCTTATGGGGTTAAGTAATTTGCTCAGTGTCAGAGTGGAGGTATTGGGACAAAGTTCATGTTAGTCACCCAGTATTCTGCTTCTGCTCAGGGTGCTCTTTATCTGTTCCCTTCCCAGTAACCAGGCAAGCCCAGCAGGAGCAATAGCGATCCCAGCTGCCATCACTTCCTCCACCAGAGCATTTCTGACCTTTTCTCACTCCCCCACGAAGCTATTCTAGTCTCTGACAGGTCATTCCTGTTTCCTTGGCTTACTCTGGCCTTTCAGAATGAGTAAGAAAGGAGACATCCTATTTTGAATGTTTGGTATTTATAGTATGATATTTAAGATACTTTTAAAGATATAAAGGGAGAAGCATGCTAATTCAAATAACTTAAATATTGCGTTCCCTGAAAATCTAATGTATAAAAATTATCCATCTATTTGAATTTACTGAGTGGTGTGATAATTCAATTTAATACCAGATATTATGTGCTTGACCTTTTATCATTTAATTATCATTACTATCCTATGGGGTCAAAACTATTACACACTCATTAATTCTTTCCAGAATTATATGCCAGGCATTGTGCTACTGGTTCAATGCTGAGACTGATACAAAGCATGACCCTTCACTCATGGAACATTTAGTTTATTTAGTAGGGGAGACAGCCACTAAACAAATAACTAAACAAATGAAAAACTGCAATTATGGCAAGTGCCATGAAGATGAGGTATATAATGTTTTGAGAGGGTATAACCAGGGAACATGACCTGGGCAGGATGGCAGGGAAGCTTCCTTGAGATCACCGGTGCAGGAGGAGCTAACAAGCTAAGGGAGAGGTAGGGGTAGAGCAGAGTGTTTCAGGCAGAAGGAATCGAATATGGAAAGGCTTTCTGGTGGGACGGAGCTTAAGGACTTGGGTCCTGCTTAAGGATTAAAAAAGGCAGCCAATGTGACCAGAACACAGAGAGTGAAAAGTATGTAAACTGATCCTGGAGAGGTAGCTAGAGGCCAGACTGAGGGGCTCCTCAGTCATCTTAAGAATTCGTTGTTATTGCAAAAGCAAAGGGAGGCCACTGAAGGATTATGGGGGGTAGAGTAAAAGATTAATTCATGTTGGCTATCAGTAAATAATGGATCAAGGCAAGAATACATTTGGAAAGACCCAGTTAGGAGACCCCTTTGAAAGACCACGAAGAAAGGTGGTAGCATATTCTGGAGGGGTGGCAGGCAGGTTTTGAGAAATCTTTACTGAATCTACAGCACTTGGTGATAGATAAGACTGGGGCCAGGTTAGAGTTGGATAGGGGAGGTAGGGACTAGAAATATACATCAAGAATGCTTCCCAAATTTCTGAATTGCTTAATGAGAGAAAAATGAAATAGAACAGTTTGAGGCTTAGGGAAAGATGAGTTTGGTCTCAGACATGTTGACTTTAAAGTGCTTTTGTGACACAGAAAAAGAATAAGCAGCTGTGCATAAGAATTCAGAGCTTGGAGGAGCAATCTAGATTGGAGACATAAATCTGTTACGTCAGCTGTTATGTGAGTGACAATTAAGAGAGCAGGCACAGAAAAAATCAATCAGCAGAGTATTAGTAATAGAGAAGAAGGTATCCTAGAATGGAACCTTGAACTTCAATATTTGATGACCAGCTAGAGGAAGGAAATGGGGACCCAAGAGGTTAAGTACACACACTTGTTCAAGCACACACAGTGAATAAATAGAAGAAAAAAAATTGAAGTCTGGCTGACCTAGAGTCCAAACTTACAACCATTATGCTCTGCTGGCTACTTACTCTACATCTGGATTAAAAGCATCGTTTTCGGTTCAAAAGAGGTTAACAACTGTAACAAATTACCTATGTTAGCCAAGAATTGCTAAATAGTCCCAGTAAAATACACAAGAGAGTTAAACTGGTGCTGCTCTGAAACTTGCAAAGCATGGTATCTTCAAATGTTTCCTTACAGAGAGGTGGTAAGGAATCACTGCATCATGAAAGTTGAATACAATTTCCAAATTTTCCTCTTGCCAAGAAACAATCTAGACCAGTGATCCCCAACTTTTTTGGCACCAGGGACCAGTATCATGGAAGACAACTTTTCCACAGACTGGCACAGTGGAAGGGGGAGATGATGTTGGGATGAAACTGTTCCACCTCAGATCATCAGGCATTAGATTTTCATAAGGAGTGCACAACCTAGATCCCTCGCATGTGCACTTCACAATAGGGTTCGTGCTCCTATGAGAATCAAATACTGCCACTGATCTGACAGAAGGTGGAGCTCAGGCAGCAATGTTCACCCAGGTATTGGGGACTCCTGGTCTAGACAGATCAAGTAGTAGTAATTATAATGCTGTACTTCTCAAAATGGAGTACAGAAGTGCCCCTGAGGTGTGAAGTATGTATGTACGGGGTGGGAGGCAAGCACTACATGAAAAACACTGATAAAGATGTTGCATCTTTGGCCCGCCGTGGTTGCTCACACCTGTAATCCCAGCACTTTGGGAGGCTGAAGCAAGTGGAGAGCTTTGAGTGCGGGAGTTTGAGACCAGCCTAGGCAACATGGCGAAACCCCATCTCTACAAAAAACACACAAATTAGCTGGGCGTGATGGCATGTGCCTGTGGTCCTAGCTACTCAGGAGGCTGAGGCTGGAGAATCACTTGAACCTGGGAGGCAGAGGTTGCAGTGAACTGAGATCATGCCTCTGTAACTCTGGCCTGGGTGACAGAGGCAGACTCTGTCTTCTAGAGGAATTTTACTTGGTAGCTTTGGGAAACATTTTTTGATATTAAAAACAAACACGATGATACTGAATAAAATGCAAACTTTGCATTCATTTTAAAGACAAGCCAGTAGTCAAGAAAATTTCAAACTTGTAGCAGTAACCCCCAACCGTACTTCTTTGGGAGCAATTATTCACTTTATGCTGGTAATAGAGTATGCTGGAAGGGAGGCTGAGATGCACTGTTATATCGTATTGCAAGATCACCTTCCATCCCTACCCAAGGACTCAAAAAGAGGCCAGTGTATCAAGGGAATATCTTGTGATTTTCAACCATTCAAGAATCACAATTGGAGAGGTCATGTGGTCTTGAAGATAAAGTATGAAGCAAATACTACCAATTTACTAGTTTCCAATGTACTTTTGAATGACTTTATTCACTTTCCCACACTTATTGATAGTGAGAAATGTAAAAACACAGAAAACACTGCTAGTAGGAAGACTGGTAGTAATTCATAAAATACTTCTGTTTCCCCATGTGTGTGAAATACATATGAATTCCAAAAAACAACTTTTAAAAAAGCACACACTTATGACTTACCTTTCCAAATGATCCCTGCCCTAATACTTTTAAAAGTTCAAACTGGGAAGGATCTGCCTTTTCATGTCCTTCCTTTACATGATGTGTGATTGCAATTTCTTTGATACTGACTTCTTCCTGTTGAGGTAAATATAAGGGGAGCAAACAGAGTTAGCCAGAGCTATTTTCTCCTGCTAAAAATCAAACAATACAAATTTAATCATACTAGAAATTAATTAGAAATCAATCTAATTTCTAAGTATATTAGAAATCCTGAAATTAACATACTAAAAGCCACCCTTTACCAACGTATCAAGTGTATATGCCACACATATATACTTTCAGGGTAAATGTCAGAGACAGTATTATACCAGCCTATCACATAGGCCAATTTAACCTCTACATGACATTTAGTACTAAGAATTTTCCAGTCTTCGTTCTCTCTACTGGAGATAATTAGAATAGTTTTATTGGGTTGGGGCAGAGGGTGTGAAGAAGTCTGAAAATAACAGATCAGAGTAATCTGCTGTGCTCTGGTGTATGGTTATATTACTCAGAACTAATGCTATTAAAAAATAAATCAACTATTTATTGAGGAGAGGGGTTGAAAAATATTCCAGGGTAAACATGGAGATTTCTAACCTCAATGTAGCTGTTTAAGTACACTGAAGTTTTATCCCTTTGAAATGTCTAAGTTACTTTCTGTTTCTGGAATAATCTAGGATCTCAGAGGGGAGAAAGGAGTAACTCAAAAACACAAAATCAGAAAAGATTTAACATTTGGATGGAGAATCAGACATGGAAAAAAACGACTATTCAGCATGATGGAACAGTGAGAGGTATCTAGGTTAAGAGAAGGATTTTAAAAGACAGTGGACATTTTTACATATTTGAGAAAAAGTATCATAACAAAGAGAAAATATATGAAATACCCACACAGGATTTCAATTACTTATGTGAGATCAGCAGACTAGGTTACCTTATTTAATCAAGACACAAACTGTTTGTTATAGTCAAAAATTACAACAAAACAAAATCTGACCAAATCAGAAACATAAACCTGTCAAATAAAGACTATCATTTCTATTTTGTTGACTATAATTTTTTTTCTAGGTGCGTTAGGTACCATTAGTAGAATCTCAATGTGTTATGTGAACATAAATAATCCATTGTTTTTGTTATTATTGTATCCCATACAAACTTTTGTGCTCAATTAACATTCTCTGAGATGTCCTTAGAATGTTGGCAATAAAAAGAATTACAAAGATTTCTCAAAAGGACATACCATAATATCCTAATATGGTAGCTTTTGAAAATGAGTAGTAAAAGGAAAAAAGCTCCCAGAAGAGGAGAAAAAGGGATTCAGGCCCACTACTTTATTTCTCAGACAGAGGCTGTAATTTGTAGGTTATTTACTACTTAGGCAGTTCAATCATATTGGACTCTCCTAGAACTTCAGCAACAATAATCAAATCATTTCCTAACATCAGTTTAGATCTTTATTTCATAATTTCCTGTGCATTATGTCCTTTAATTCTCACAACAATCCTGTGCAGTAGGTATTAGCATACAACCAAGCATTAGCTGACTCTTAAGATGCTACCTCTTTCCTCCAAATAAGACCAAGGTACGAGGGTTTCAGACACCCTTTTCTCCAAATAAGACTAGAAATCCAGCAAATACTGAGCACCTACCACATATCAACTCTGTGTTAGGTGTTTTTTTATGTTTTATATTCATGCTTCATGACAAATCTTTGATCACATATTAATGTTAGAGAGAACTGATGTAACATAAACAAGTAAACCTTAGAACAAGCATAAACATTTCAGAGTTTTCTATGTACTTCCCCCATTTACCAGTAGCAATGTGACAGATCCTCTAAAAACAAACTGGTTTGAATATTCTACAGCCTGAACTTTAAAGAGATTAATTGAAGGCAGAAAAGATCACAAGCCAGTAAGTGGTAAACTTAGGGCTCAATTCTAGGTCTCCTGACTTTAAAAACAAGGCCCTTACCATTACACCACACTGAGATCAATGACAGGAAACCTATAGACTTATGACCCTGGTCTTTGTAACTGGTCTGTTAGCTCAGCTGATTACAGCAGTGTTCTTTGAACTTTTTGGTAGCACATCCTTAGCAGAAAAAACAAAAAAACAACTACATACACAATACTTGTATCCTTAAAATTATATACACGTAAAAAAGTTATCTTCTTTTCTATACCCCAAAGTGCTGTCACATCACACTTTGAAGACTAATGGATTACAGACTTGAACTCATGGGGCCAACTTCATGGGCTGGATTCCAGTATGTGTCAGTTAGCCTTGCATTTAAAAAACAAAAAACAAAAAACAACTATCTGTTCAACAGCCTAACTGGAATCTAGCAGCCATTTATGCCTTTAAATCATGAGGTCATGAAGAACTTTACTTTGTAATGTTAAATATTTTTTACCATTTTTCTTTTTTAGGTAAGTGGAATGTGATTTATCAGGTTACGGTATTTTTCCACCTTACATTTCATAGCAAATATGTACAAAAATTGTTTGTCACAAATAAAGATGCAACACAAGCAGGGAAGAACAATCACTGAATTATAAACACATTCCATTTTGTAGCAGGCATACAGGATCAACCCTTACCCTAAAATAGTGTGAGCTACAATCCGGCCAAGAATTTCAAAATACATAGCAATTACTACTCTCATCTTTGATGACTACCCTTCCTTTCATCTCATGTCAAATAAGTTACTGAAAACTGCAGTCTGGCCAGGCACGGTGGCTCACGCCTGTAACCCCAGCTTTTTGGGAGGCCGAGGCAGGTAGATCACCTAAGGTCAGAAGTTCAAGACCAGCCTGGTCAACATGGTGAAACCCCGCCTCTAGTAAAAATTCAAAAATTAGCCAGGCATGGTGGCGAATGCCTATAATCCCAGCTACTTGGGAGGCTGAGGCAGGAGAATCACTTAAACCTGGGAGGCAGAGGTTGCAGTGAGCAGAGATTATGCCACTGCACTCCAGCCTGGGCAACGAGAGCGGGACACTGTCTCAAAAGAACAACAAAAAAAGTAGAGTCTAGGTTGGGCAATATAGTGAGACTTTCTCTCTACCAAAATTTTTAAAAAATTAGCTACGTGTGCTGTTGGTGTGAGCCTGTAGTCCCAGTTACTCAGGAAGCTGAGACATAAGGACTGCTTGAGCCCAGGAGGTCGAGGCTACAGTGAGCCATGATCATGCCACTGCACTCCAGCCTGGGCAACAAAGCAAGATCCTGTCTCAAAAGAAAAAAAAAAAGTAGTGTCTCCCTTTGGTCCCTTCCATATAACGACCACATGCCGAAACACTTACTATGTATCAAGTATAGTATTGAGAACACTTTTCATTCTTTCTATTTCCGGTGGTATCATCAGGGTACAAACCTTCATTATCTTTCATCTAGAAAACTGAAACTAGATTGGTTACTCATAATATCCCTTTCCACCTGGGTCCAATTCATCTTTCTGAAAAATTCATTTTCTGAAATTATACAGCTCCAGTCATTTGACCAGGCTGTTCAAAAACTCCAAGCTTTCTCAAATTAAATGTACTACTTCACCTTGGCATTCGAGGTCCTCTATTATATGGCCTCAACCAACTTTTGTGATATTATCTCCCAACATTCTCTTACACATAGCCTGTTGTCAACCTAGGTTATTTCTTATTCCCTAAATTTTTTGTTTTTAAAATCAAAGTAATACATGCACACTGGTAATAAACAGTGGCAGAATAGCTTATGGTGAAAAGCAAGTCTCTTCTCACCCTCATGCCTGGACTTGAAAAAAAAATTAGTTCTGCATCTACTTTGATAATTTATTAATTTATCAACCTTAAGACAATGTCTACTGACTTAAAATAAGAAAAGTGAGGGCCTTACTTATATTATGCCCCTTCATTTCATCATCTTCCTCTCCATTCTTTGGCAATTATATTACCTTTACATAAACTTCTTGTCTTTTCTCTGTTGGACAGAATCCTAACTCTTCCCCTTGAAAAAGGAGGCTAATATGTAGCTGTATATAATTTTATTAACATTAAGGTTATTAATTTTAAGAAAATTAACATTTTCTCCTGCACTTCTAGCTGTAATTTTATTAATATTAAGGCTATTAATTTTAAGAAAATTAACATTTTCTCCTGCAATCACAACCAAATCATTCATGCTCTCTCTATAGCCTGATTCTAAAGTTGAAAGCCTATATACAACAGCATTCATATCATCGTGACAATATATGGTTCATATGAAGGCTAGGTAATATATTAAATTTCCTTTTATATGAGTCCATGACTCCCAGGCCAGTCCAAGGGGACTTTAAAAAACAAAACAAAACAACCCCCCCCGCCCCACTTCATTAAATGTTTACATTCATGATAAATTTTACTTTGATTCCTATTCGGATCATGGATTTCTCATGCACTTTTCTATTTTTTCCTGTTTTTAACAGCCTTCCACTATTCTTGTAGAAAGGGAGAAGTAATTTGACCATTATTCTTATTATTTTCTTAGCCCTTAGCAGTATTTTTTATTCTTCTGAGAGCTCTTTTCTATCCTGGAGACCTCTCTCACCCTCCCATCCCAACTGGTGTTTCTGTAGGCCCGCTGCACAGCTATCACCTTGGCATAGCTCTTCAGTGATTTTCTGGTTGAACCCAGTTTTCAGTTTCCTATGTCTCTTTCTTAGATTACCCTCTTGTAACTTCCTAAGAAAGATAATGTGGAAGAAAACTTTCTGAACATCACGTATCTGCAAATGTTTTTATTTATTTATTTGAGACGGAGTCTCACACTGTCATCCAGGCTGTAGTGCAGTGATGCGATCTCGGCTTGCTGCAATCTCCGCCTCCTGGGTTCTAGCAGTTCGCTGGCCTCGGCCTCCTGAGCAGCTGGGACTACAGGCATGCGCCACCATGCCCAGCTGTTTTTTTTTTTTTTTTTTTGTATTTTTAGTAGAGATGGGGTTTCACCATGTTGGCCAGGATGGTCTCGATCTCCTGACCTTGTGATCTGCCCGCCTCGGCCTCCCAAAGTGCTGGGATTACAAGCGTAAGCCACCGTGCCCGGCCACACATCTGTAAATGTTTTTATTTTGTCTTCGCATTTGTACAGTTTGGCTTGGTATCAAATTCCAGAAAAAAAAAATCTTGCCTCCAGTTCTGCTGATGAGATGGGTGATGCTAGTCTGTTCACACTTTTTGCTAGGTCTGGTTTTTCTTTCTGGAAGCTTTAAAGATTTTCTCTGTCCTTGTGTTTCTGAAATTCCGTACTAGTGAGATAAATAGGGTCTTCTTCCCTTCAGAATGCTAGATGCTTGGTGAACCTTTATAATCTAAAGACCTGAATTCTTTATCTTTGTGGGGAATTCTAACATATCTTTGATAATTTCTTTCCATCCATTTTTCAGAGCTTCTCTTTTTGTGACTCCTGTACTAGTTGAATATTGTATGTCTGAAATGGAATCCTTTATGTCATTTTTTATTGTATTTTCTATTTCCACTTTTTAAAAATTTTTTTGAGATGGGGTCTCGCTTTGTCACCCAGGCTAAAGTGCAATGGTGTGATCTCAGCTCACTGCAGCCTCGGCCTCCTGGGCTCCAGCAATCCTCCCACCTCAGCCTCCCCAGTTGCTAGAACTACAGGGATGCGCCACCACACCTGGCTAATTTTTTGATTTGTTTGTAGAGAAAGGGTCTCACCATGTTGCCCAGACTGGTCTCGAACTCCTGGGCTCACACAATCCGCCTGCCTTGGCCTCCCAAAGTGCTGGGATTATAGGAATGAGCCATCACGTCCAGCACTGTCTCTACTTTTCTGAGAGACTTTCTTGACTTTACCTTTCCACTTTCATACTAAATTTTTTATTCTGGCAAATCTTAATTTTTTTTTTTTTTTTTTTGAGACGGAGTTTCACTCTTGTTACCCAGGCTGGAGTGCAATGGCGCGACCTCGGCTCACCGCAACCTCCGCCTCCTGGGTTCAGGCAATTCTCCTGCCTCAGCCTCCTGAGTAGCTGGGATTACAGGCACGCGCCACCATGCCCAGCTAATTTTTTGTATTTTAGTAGAGACGGGGTTTCACCATGTTGACCAGGATGGTCTCGATCACTTGACCTCGTGATCCACCCGCCTCGGCCTCCCAAAGTGCTGAGATTACAGGCTTGAGCCACCGTGCCCGGCAAATCTTAATTTAAAGTAAATTTTCAAGTGTTCCTTTTCTGAGAGAGAGAGAGAGAGAGAGAGAGAGAGAGAGAGAGAGAGAGTGTGTGTGTGTGTGTGTGTGTGTGTGTGTGTGTGTGTGTGTGTGATTTTTTTTAAGAGCATCTTCCTCTACTCCCTACCCTCTTATCCCCAAAATAGATGCAATCGTTTCAAACCTCTTTGAGGACCCAAACAGGGATTTATAAAATATTTTTCTAAATCAGGGCTCAGAGCGTATGGAAAATACTCTTGAGGGTGGAGAGAAAAGATCAATTCCTGTGGCAAGTTCGACATTGGCTCAAGTTTCAAAAACCTGTCACTGTTTTATCCTGAACATGCTTTTCTGTTCCAAGTTTAAATTTTGTAAGACCTAAATTTTAACTAATCACAGCAGCAAACTATTTTCTAACTACTTTATCTATATGCAAAATTACAGCAGTATAATAGGCAAAATATCCTGGGTTAAGATCTCAATGCCCAGATTGTACTTAATGTCACCAAGTCATGGGAACATGACTATTTTAGAAATGAATCTAAGGTTTGACTAGGACATAATACTAATGCTTGGGCAATCTTAGACAACAGGTAGGAAAGCAACAATGTACTTTTCTAGCTCATACTTGGAATCTAATGAGATGGATGCAGAAAGGAATATCAGATTTCCAAGGGCACTGATAAGCCAAGAACAGACTGACAGATGCATGTGACAAACATATCTTATGTCACTAAATCACTAAATCACCTGTTACTGAAATAAATCTGTCACATGAAAACATAAAATTAGTTTCACCTGACATTTTGTAAAATTGTGTTTTTGCCTGTAAGTACATGGTAAAGCAGCTATATTAATAGTTTTATGGAAAAATAATTCTGTTAATTAACTGGAGCATAGATATAAATTATATATATTCTAATTATTCTGTGAGGCTCCCATATTTTTACATTCTCTGGTACAACTGTATTTTAAATGACACATGGATATCTGTCCATTCATTACCATAAAAAACTTACTTTGTGCATTTAAAAATAGTAATAATAAATTCCATGTTACTGTTTTTACAAAGTCTATGTTTATTTGATAAGCAAAAGTAGGCAAAATTTTGAGGATGGCAGCAGAGCTACATCACGCCTGTTTCATTCTTCCTACATTTCCACTCCTTTCAAACATTTGCCACCTTCCTTGGCCTAGGTGTTCAATACCCTTAAGCTATGTATGGGAATTCACTAATTCATTCATCCATTCAGACATTCAGTTTTGAGCACCTGATACATGCTTGGTGCTCTTCTAGGCACTGAGATATACAATAAGTCAAATGGACCAAAAACTTTGCCTTTTTGACAACAGACCAAATAATAATAGGTAAATAAATGTTAGAACATGATAAATACTATGAGGAAAAGATACTGAGTTGAGTAAAGGGATGGGAATAGCAGACATGGAAGTGGGGGTTGTAATTTTCAATAAAGTAGTCAGCGCAGGCTTTATTAAGATATGCTATTTGAGAAAGACCTGAGGGAGGTAAGGAAGTCAACTACCTAGGGGAAAAGCACTCCTGGCAGAGGGACAAGCCAGTACAAACGCCAGAGTGGGAGCACACCTGGACACTAGAGTTTGGATCAGAGGGTATGAAAGAGAGGTAGAGAAGAATGAGGTCAGATAGAGAACTAAAACACAGGTGGCTCTCCTGCTTTTGTTATTTCCTGAATGCCTAGTTCCAATGAAAATGTTTCTGATCTATGACGTACTCTGTTAGGACCATTCCTTTTGGTTGGAAGGTCATTCAAATTATGGGCCAGGTATTGTACTAGGTATTAGAGATACTAAGATAATTTACCGGGATCTCAAAGATTTATTATTAGACAGGACCCCTGATGGATAAAACAAAGTCAGTTCAGTTGAAACATATAATTTTAGAAATTCTGTAGAGTGTCATTTTGGACATCATGGAAAAATGGGAGGAGAAAATTTACGGGCAGGTAAATCTTTCGGTGTTTCTCAGTCACACGGAAAGCCACCCAGTTTTTTTTCCCAGGACCAACAAAAGGTCTTAGGTTTATACCCCAATGGTCTTTAAGGTCCACTTTTTAGTGGGGAAAAAAAGAATCTAATGTTTTCTTTTCAAGTTGTGAAAGAAAAATATCATTTTGATCTTAAAATGTAAAAAGGATTAAAGAAAAGAAACTGAAATTAATGCTATCTATTTGAATTATCAAAAACCTAATATTGTAACATGCTAAGAAAACAAACTGAGAGATATTAACTGATTTCAAAGAATGATTCAACATTTGGCATTATGCCCTGCCTTGTATACATAATTTCCTTTTCCTCCCCTCCCTTGAGTCAGGAAGTGTGTTCTTGAGGCATTTGTATTTTCTAAATTGTTTTGAATGCCAGAAAACATTATTGAAGCTTGAAGTAAAATATTTAAATGTTCCTTGGTAAAAGTCAGTAAGTATTTTCTAACCATGGATATGTAACCATTTTTTGTTGTACCATAAAAAAGACCTTACAAATGAAAAATTTATTTGCCCCTTAAATGTCATTCTAAATTTAAGTAATTAAGCTATCACCCTTTATATAGATACCTATAGTTCTATAATACACAGTTTTTTAATTTTAAAAAGATATGTTAACCTTTTTTTAGACAATCAAGATACATAAAAATTATTTGGCTGTGACACAAAATTAGGCTGGTTATTCAAGCCATGGTATGAAACTACGTATTAATATATTCTAGATTACAATCTGACTGAATTCAATTTACTTCATTTGCTAATAGAATGATAAATAAGCTCAACATTTTTCATTTAACCAAATTCTTTAAGCGAGCTTTAAGCTCGTTTAAGTCAGCTCCTTTTATCCATGTTTGAGAAAACAACAAGCTGGTTCTCCAGATAAACATTACTAATCACTGCCACAAAGAGCAGAGTTTTCTCCCAATCTACCGATTGGCAAATTTAATTCTCTTTAAAGAGCTGCTGGATGGCACAATTCTCATGGCAAAACATCAAGCTGATTTTGGCAGGATTGTAGATTAAATATATTGCAAATTAACATCCACTAAGCCCATTTTAACAGAATAATTCTTTGAAAATTGTTTCTACTCTAAATTACTTGCTTAAATTACTTAAACGTAGAGTTGCTTAAAAACTTTCTTTTACAGGAACCGATTTCCACCAAAATGTGATTTTAAGTTATTGACTGCTTAAAATAACATACTCTCCTGCCCACTAAAGTTGTTCTCATTATAGTAATCTTCTAAATATTAGCAAATTTGTAATTCTGTTTATGCCTGGTTTAATGCTGAAAGTTACAGTCATTTGTTTTACTATACAAAATTACAAACACTAACAAGATAAAAATTACTCTAGCACTAAAAAAGTGTAAAAATAAGTTGACAACATATACAGAACTGAAATGTATAATACACATAACTGGCTTACTTTTAGTAAACAGATATATTATCCTTTAAAAATTCTATCAAAACTGGCTGTGAATTTTGAAAAGTTGCTTTAAAGAACATATAAAACGAAATAACTATTTAATTACTATAATTAGAGTTAGCGCCAACGAAAACATTTTATTCTTTAAAAGAAGCTGAACAGAGCTTACCTGTATAGAGCGAACACGAAAAGACAAAAATTTAAACATGGCTATGAAACCATGATGGTATCAAAAGAATTTCTGCCAGTAAAACTTAAGTTAGAAAGGGAAGGCCAAGCCCTTGCAAAGTTTTCTTCTACCAGCTGTTCCGGCAATTAGAAAATTTCCTGTCAGGCGGGTCCTGAAAATGCTAGAAAAAGAGGCCGGACAATTTTCCTGTGGTAAAAGAAAGAAGAAACCTGCCGGTAGGGGCACTAATGTAGCTGGATAGGTAGGGAGGCCAGAACAGGAAACCAAAGCAGATTTGCTGATAGCCAAATCCTGTTGAAATGTTCTTTTCTCCTGGTTCCCAGCAATCCGGACAATTTTCACAAGCAGTGAAACAAAACTTATTATTTTAGAATCCTGAGAAATGCCAGAATTTCTTAACTATATGACTCTTTAAAGCAACTGAAACTAGTTGCCACTACTAAACTACTAAAAGTTGCTAAACTGATGCACATGTGGAATTTGACCCTTTGTGGTGTTTATACACACACTCAAGCTGTGGTCTCAAGGCAATTTTAAGGTTATACACAGGCATGTCATGGGTGTTCCCTGTCAATGAAGAAGAGTTTCATAACTATAGGTAGAAAATAAAGACCATAGGCAAGAAACTTTAAAAACTGTGATGTAAGGACAAATGCTACCTGTCTTAAATGAAAGTAAATCACTTTTGAATTTATGTTAGTTATAAG